CTACCCTGCAATCCAGCAAAATCCCACGCCTGGGTGTATATCCAAAAGAAGCGAAATCAGTATGTCTATGAGACTTCTGCATTTCCATGTCCTTGACCCAAGATAATTGTGGGCAAAGAGTTAATATGAGAATCTGAAATTTGATTATCATTATCCATGATAAGCAAGATATGGAATCAACTGAAGTATCCATTGGTGGATGAATGGATGAAGAAAATGTGATGTGTGGGCATGCATGCACACACACACACACATACACACCCACAATGGAATATTATCTAGTCATAAAAATGAATGGAACCATGTCATTTGTAGCAGCATGAATGAACTGAAGGACATTGTGCTAAGTGAACCTAGCTAGGCACAGAAGATAAATGGCACATGTTCTCACTTATATGTAGAAGATAAAAATATTGATCTCTTAGAAGTACTGTCCAAGCTCTATAGGTTAGGAAAGGGTAGTGGGGAGAGGAGATAATGGGAGCTTAGGCAGTAGTACCAAAATACAGTTACATAGGAAGAGTAAATTCTAGTGTTCAGTAGGGTGACTATAGTTCACAATGATTATGTATTTATAAAAAACTAAAAGGGAGGTGTTCAAAGGTCCCCAACACACAAAAAAAGACAAATGTTTAAAGAGATAGGAATGCTGATTACCCTGCTTTTATCATTATGCAATGTATAAATATACTAAATTATCACCCTGTACCCCATAAATATATACAATTGTTATTTGTCAATTTGAACTTTTTTTTTTTGTGGTGCTAGGGATTGAACCAAGAACTTTGAACATGCCAGGTAACTGCTTTTCCACTGAGCTTCATTCCCAGTGTTAAAAATTTTCAAATGATTCTTCCTTTTTCAATTGTTCTCTGCTTAAGACGTTAGCCTCTGTATAGGGATTACTAATAACAAATAACAGTAATAATAATAGTCACAAGCATTCATATATGTGAAGCACTGTTCTTTTTTTTATTGTTCTGGGGATTGAAAACCCAGGGCCTCACACATGCTAGGCGAGCTCTGCATCACTGAGCCCCAGCCCCAGCCCTGCTACGCACTATCCTATGCTCTTGGCAAGCTTCTCATTTAATATTCAGGACAACCCTATGAGATATGTACAATTATCATCACCATTTTACAGACAGGAAAAGAGAAGCTGAGCGGATTAAGCAATTTGACCCAAGATAATTATGGGCAAAGAGTTACTATAACAGCTATCATTTCTCTTTCTGCATGAGAATTTGACCTTTGGTTGACTTCCTAGCTCTGTTACCCTGGTAACCTGATAAGAGCCAAATGTCAGCTGTGTTTCTAGGCAACATTACCTATGATAAAAATGACCCCTGATTGGTTAATTATATCTAGACCTGGGAGGAGCTATACATAAACTATAAATACCCGAAAGGGACCCATACCCAGGGCTTCTCTGAGGGCAATGACTGGAAGCTCAGCCTCTGGGGGTGCTATGGGAAAATGGTGCTCCTGCAATACAGAGGCTTTGCACCAGGGCAGCTCCTACACCTGCCTGTTGGGGATCTCATGGCCTTTCCTCTGGACTTATGGCCTGGCACACCTAGTCAATGAACGCTTCTTAACATTGTGATGGTGGCCTGCATCCTGCATTCTTTTGAGTAGACGGATGCCAGTCATGGTCATTTTGTGAGTCTGAACATTCTGATAGACCTGTAAATATTAGTTGGTGTTGGTCTGGTGGCTGTGTAGTCGTACAACCAGGAGAATGAAAGAGGTAGAAAATTAAAATTGGAACCTGGGAATTCTGATATGCTGCTCAAGCCTCTAACCATTCGGCTAGACGCTCTCAGGGAGGCTCAAGGAGGTTGGTAACTCTGCTAAGGTCACAGAGCACAGGTTTAGCAGAGTCTAGTTTGTCTACTTCCAGAATCATGCGGTTAAGGTATGACTTTAAAGTGAAAAGATTTGTTTCTCACAGGAGGCGTGTTGAGTGCCACTTTGATCCCTGTACCCAAATGTGCATGTGTCATCGGAAGGTGCTTGCCTTGACAGTGTGGGTGGGTGGGACAGAAGCTCAGCACAGGGCCACCAGTGAGTTATGTTTCTTTACTTCTTGTTACAGTTCCTCCCCTCCTCGTCTCGTCTATTTTTCTTCTTTAAAAAAAAATATTCTGAGCAAACTTTTAGCCTTAGAGAAACGTTACAAATATACTAGAGCTCCCGCATACCTTTTACCCAGGTTACTTGATATTAGCATCTGAGTTAGCCACAGTACAAAGGTCACAGTGAGGGGCTTCCGTTGTCTGGGACAGCCTCCTACACTGCAGACCTTGTTCAGCTTTCACTGGTTTCCCTGCTAATGTCCCTTTGCTGTCCTGGTATCCTGCCTAGGATCTTACAACGCATTAGTTATTTCCCTTTAGTCTCCTCCAGTTTGAAACAGTTCCTCAGTCTTTCTCTGTCTAGGTACTTTGAAAAGTGCTGATCCCCTATCTGATAGATCATCCCCCAGGCTGGCTGGGTCAGTGTTTTTTGTGATTGTACTGAGGTTATGAGCTTTGGGTAAGAATGCAGTAAGAATACTGTTATGTCCTCGTCAATGCATAGCGCATCAAGGGCTCGTGGTGTTGATAATGTCTGATTACTGATGTGCCTTCTTTTTTTCTTTTTCTTCTCTTTTGTTTTAATTCATTCTTTAAGTCCTCCCCCCACCCCCACATTCAGCTCACTAAGATGGGGCTGGTGATCCAGGGTAGTTATTATTAGCATGTCAGCTCCAGCCAGGCAGGTCTTGCTGCTACTGTATTCTAACATATTATATTTTGCTAATTTTCTTTGTAGTCAGTTCTGCAGCCACCTCTCAGACATGGAAAACAGTTCTCTCATATTGAACTTTGCTTGTGAAAGTGGTTGGGCTGTCTCATGACCCTTTCACCACCCTGTCAACAGGGATGACAGATTGTGTAAGTGAGGTCTGTGTTCTGCTGTTACCAACCTGAAGAATTTGGTTATAGTGATTGAAACTGTCCTGAGGTTGCTGGGCCCTGGGCCAGGTTCTTGGAGACACTAGGGCCGGAGCCAGCTGTGGGTTTCTAGAGGGTTTTGTGACTTATAGTTTGAAGCTCAGCGATAGGCCTGCAGAGTTTCCCCCATCCTGCGTTTCTGGGGGTATCTGACCCAAGCAGGTCTTTCCTTGGTCCTCTGTGATTTGTTGTTGGGTAAATGAAGTTTCAAAATGAAGAATTTCAAAAGTTGAGCCGGATCAGGGTCAAGGTCAGGCTGTGGAGGTTGCACTATGGACCGGGAGGGGATAGTAACACAGGGTTTTGGTCAATTAGATGAGGGTTCTGCTCCCAGCAGGGCACACACCTGTAGGATACGTCTTCCCAGTATTCTAACTCCATGGGGGAAATGCTCCATAAAACTGTAATTAAATGGACTAAACTGAAAATCTCATAAGTAGAAATTCTGTGGTCTCGAATTTTGCTGGTCTTGAATTAAGAATAAGTTCTTGTCAGAAAACATTTTGGAAAATTAACCAACCCCTAGGTGTGCACTCCAATCTCACTACAGCCTCAGTTGTAGAATTCAGAGGTTCAAAGAGGGGATAGTGACTTACTAATTGGTTCCTTGTTTGGAATCTCAGGGCTTTTGCACTCGAGGGTGTCAAGGCCTATGATAGTCCATGCAATGTGTCCACTAAGAAAGGTAGAGATGAGAAATTGGTTTTGTTTTGTACCTTTGTGATAATAAGGTGACACAAACAATGGTCAGAGCACTGCATTTCTTTCTTCCTCTTCCTCCTCCTCCTCCTCCTCCTCCTCCTCCTTCTTTTATGTTTTTTGAATAGGGAAAGAAAATACTAAAATACCAGTGGAATAACTTTCTCCATTTCTTGTCTTCATCTTTTCAGTTCCCAGGAAACCACTGATTCCAATTTCTTACATCTCCTTCCAGAGTTTTTTTTTTTTTTTTACATATACAAGCAAATACAAAAAAAGAATCTTATTTTTCCCCTTTGGGTAACATATTAATTATTTAAAATATATGTTTTGGAAGATTCTGATTCTTCAGATTTATCAGAATCTTCAAGAATATGTATTTTCTTTGTTTTTGTTTTTTTGGTCTCAGATTTTTTTAAATTAAATATTGTGGTCTCAGGTGCAATCCCTGTTAACGCCTACTGGAATCTAGCTGTCCTTTTTCCCTCTCCAGAGCTAACCACTATGAGGAATTTAATGTTACCATTCTCAGCATATTTATATGTGTACTACATTTTTATGAATTTAGAAACAATTTATAACACTATTTAAAGGCCTTCAGACATTATATAAACACAACATACTGTAGTCACCTGTCTGTAACTTTTTCACCCAACTGCTAGGTTTTTGAGATATCTATGTTGATAGATGTGAATCCAATCCATTCTTTTTAGCTGTTGCATAATGTTCCATTGTTTGAATAACCCACAGTTTATCTATTTTCTATTGTTTCTACATCCATTTTGGTTGTGCTATAGTGAACAAAGCTGTGGTGTATATATTTCAAAATTCAACCTGTTCTTTCAAATGCATATGAGTAACTATACCTTCTGGGGTCTGTGACTGAAAAAAGGGTCAGGGATGGTGAATGTTGCTTTCTTTTATGCTCATACTCACTGCATGTTCTTACTGAGTAGATGATTGGATGAAAGGATGCATGAGATGAATGCTTAAATCTTTTTTATTTTATTTTGTTTTCTGTTGCTGGGAAGTGAACCCAGGGCCTCATGCGTGCTAGTCAAGTGCTCTACCACTGAGCTACACCTCCAGCCCTTTTTTTTTAGTTTTTATTTGGGCCCCAAACTTGTGATATTCCTACCTCAGCCTCCTGAGCTGCTGGGATTACAGGTGTGTTCTGCCATGCCCAGCTCTGAATACCTGGATCTTTTAAGAAAGTTGCTAAATGTTGTAAATCCATGTATAAAGTCACCTTGCCTGTGTGGAAGAACGACACATCAATGCCTAGTCTCCCTTTCCTTCTAGATGTTGAAATGCTTCAGGCCAGTACATCTAAACCTGTCCCTGGAGATGGCTTCTCTCGACCCACTAAGGACTCTATGATCCGCAAGTTTTTAGAAGGTAAGTTGTAACTGTGAACACGGAAGCAAAAACAGAGAAACAGACAGTGCCTGATTCCGTATGAAGGTTGTCCCACTCAAGGAACAGGCTGCCACATAATAGCATCTGATGTGGTGATAGGTACTCCTCCTCCCCACTCATCTCTGCCACCTATTCCTCCTGCCCGGTACCCATGGGCCAGAAGCTCCTGCCACTGAAACCACTCATTTGGTAGACCAGTTGCCTCTAGTAAGAAGTCTTTTAAAATATATGTTTTTATTTTTATTTGATAGATATTTATGTAGTATCTACTACGTGCAGAGCACTATTCTGGAGGTGAGTCTGAGGACATAAGGAAAAGTAAGATGTGATTACTTTTTGGTGGAGGAGGAGAATATCTACAAGTTTGACTAAGTCAAGACTATTTTGATGGTGGACTCTGATCTGTACTCACTTCCTCATTTGGTTAGCTGGGACACCTCAGGCCAGTTACTCATCTCTTCTGGGCCTCAGTTTCCTTAGCTATAAATGTTGTGAGGATTCAATGAGTTATTGTACATTAGGCTTCAGAGCAGGGCCAGGCACATAACACAGGTTTATAATGTTGTCGTTATTAGAATTGAGGATTTCATAGGTGAAAAGTATTGCATTGTGTAAATAATTCCTTAACCCTATCCAGTGATTTATAACTTATAGTGTGCCTGTTGATCAAGTAGATAGATACAGAAAGCAGAATGCTGAAAGGATGAGGCTCAGGAGGGACAGGTGACACATTGTAGGTGTTCAGTACATACTAGCTGCCAGAGCAAAGCTTTCTAACATTTTTTCCTTTAGCAGAGGTTCTCAAACTTGAATGTGCATCAGACCCACCTGGAGGGCTTGTCAAAACCCAGATTTCTGGGTATCTGATTCAATAGGTTGGGGTGCGACCTGAGATTCATCTTCCTGACAAGTTCCTGGGTTATGGTGCTGCTGGTCCGAGGACCCACTTTGAGAATCTCAGGTCTAGAGCAGTGCTTTCCTTTCCTTTCTTTCTTTTTTAAACAGTGGAATCCTCTTTTGATTCCCCTTTGTTTCTCACTGGTTGCTGTTGTTTTTTAATATTGTAAAATATGCAAACAGTAAAAATTCAAGTGATACAAAAAGTTAAGCAATGAAAATAAGTCTCCCACTATAGATTCTCCAAAAAAACTCCTGAACATGTTCATTTGCACATGAATGTATCCTCTTTTCTTTTCATTCACAAGAAATATCACATAAGCACAAACATTCATTTTTAACAGCTAGTGTTCCATTATATATAATATTACCTAACCAGTTTCCTGTTGAGATTATTTAGGTCATCTTCAGCTTTTTGCTTTTATAAACCTTTGCACAATAATAGCTTTGTTGTGTGTACTATCTTTTCACATGTTTGGGTCTGTGTGTACTATAAATTACTAGAAATGGAACTGCTGGAGCCAGGAGTGGTGGCATGCCCCTGTAATTCTAGCAACTTGGCTTGGGAGACTGAGGTAGGAGGATTGCAAATCTGAGGCCAGCCTCTGCAACTTGGCGAGGCCCTGCCCCAATATAAGTAAAGAAATAAGTAAAATGAAAGAGCTGGGTATGTAACTCAGTGATAAAGTGTCCATGGATTTAATTTCCAGTGCTGGGGAAAAAAGAGAGAGAGAGAGAGATAGCGAGCAAGTGAGAGAGCACGCGCACATGCAAGCACACATGTGCAGCTCAGGCAGGGGAGAAATAAAATTGCTGGGTCTAAGGAAGTGCATATTTATGAGTTTGACAGATCACTTTCCTTTGTGATATTCTACCAAGCTTTTATTCCCACCAGGGGTGTCTTGAATATTGTTTTCAAATAAAATTTTACATGGAGGCTTAGTGTACAATGCAGACAAAACTGGAACTGTTCCCCAACTCTCTGCTCAGCCTCTCATTTCTATCTAATGTGATCTCTTAGATTCTGCAGAGAGGAAAGAATGCAGCTTTGAGGAATTTGTTTGGTAACAACAGACCTGGTGTCTATGAAGGGTGGGAAGGGAAGCGTAGAGATAAGGCTGGGACAGGTGACCTGGGGCAAGGCTTTGAGAACTTGTCCCCTCACTTCATTCATGAGGCCAGCAGCCAGTCAGAATCAGAAAGTTGTGAAGAGTTCTAGGCAGGGATTAACTTTCTGTCCCCAATAAAATACAGTCCCTGGCACTAAGCAGTACCTGGACTATATTGGCAAATGTTTGTTGTTTAATTCATTAGTTAATTGTTTTAAATGGCTTGATCTGATCAAGATGAGAGTGATGAGAAACAGGCTCAGAATTCATTCTGGCAGGGACTCCAGTAGCACAGAATTCAGTTCCTTTGAGGTGACCTTCTCCCTAGGGCAGCAAATCTCTTACAATTTTTCTCTTTTGCTTCCCTAGCATTTGTTGGTCCCAGGGAGCCTGGCAGCTGGGGTGGCCTGCAGATTCTTCCTTCAGACGTCTCTAGTTTGCCTAGCAGGAGCCAAGGGAGTAGTTGGGGTGCTTATCTGTAGCTGCTGATAGAATGAAGGAGGAGCAGGATGCACAGTCCAGTAAAAGTGCTTCTTCCTGGCACTTGCAACAAACGTTCCACCTGTAGACAGACGTTGCTAAGGAAGTAGCTGTTATTGGTCCCTAGGCTCCTGACTTTCTTCTATGACTTCTAAAACCATAAATATTTCTCTGCCATGGAGAAAAAGGCCTCCTCTTACCCTGATAGTATAGTATCCTGAGATCTGCCTGAGGGTCCCTCAGAGTCTACCCAGATCAGATCAGGAAGATGTTGGGAAGGAGAGCAGTTCCGGTACGAAGGCTGTTGTGTAGGCTCAAACCTGATGCATGGATCTCTGCTTGTCCCAGAGAGCACGTTCCACCCAGAATTTATTCATCCATTCATTCTAAGGATGTTCCTGAACACCTGCCATGGGAAAGGCCCTGAATTTGACTGGAAGACATTGCAGGGAGCCAGGGGCAGGAGCTGTCCTCCTGTAGCTGACAGTCCAGGAAGGGAGAGAGGCAGGAACAGCCCGAGCACTAAGACAAAGGGTGAAGCACGGTGAGGATAAACCACAGGGTGGACTCAGTTTGGACTGGATGGTCAGTGAGACCTCTTAGAGAAGGCGGCAGTTCAGATGAGACTTGGGGAAGTCACTCAGTTGGCCTGGCACCATGTGGAGGGAAGAAGGTTCTAAGCAGAGGAACAACAGGCCTGAGGCAGGAAAGAGTTTCGCTGGATGAACTGAAGCAAAACCAATGTATCTGGGGACTGTGTGAAAGAGAGAGAGAGAGAGAGAGAGAGAGAGAGAGAGAGAGAGAGACAGGGGCTATGGGATTCACTGTCACCCCATAGGGTGGCCAGCAGCTCTTCCAGGACATCTCATTGTGTTAATATCAGACAACACCCCCCCCCCACCCTGAGTTCCTTATGCCCTTGCACAATATGTTCAAAGATGGGCAGATAAATAGAAATATATCTTGAGGGCAGTGCCCTATGAACTAGAGCCCTCTAATAAGTTGGAACTAGCCTGGTCAATCCCCTGGACCATGATGCCAGAAAGCCAAGAGCAATCTCCCTGCAGCACAGAAACAAATGCAACAAACCAAAAGTCCCCAATAAGTCTCCTAAAGGCCCCGTCTCTATTCATTCCTGTATCTCAAATGGCCATTTAATAATGCCCATTATTAAATGCTAGGGAGAAGAAACTGAACACTGCAGAAAAAACTTGAGGGCTGTTGGCCCCTGGTGGGCAGAGGGTGGGAAGCGTGTTTCCATTTTCAATCTTTTTGGTCAGCGGGGAGCAGCGTTGGGATTAGAGGTTGCAAAAGAAGCAAGAGATTATGGGGGTTAAGAGTACAGCTGTGGTATGTTTCCTGGGTGCCAACCTGGCTCCAAGTAGCTTTGGGCAAGTTACTTACAGGCCCAGTTTATTCATCTGCAAAGTGAGATTAATAAAAATAACTGTGCCACAGCATTATTATAAAATCAAAGGAGATAATGATGAGGCGATACACCTGGGGTAATGCTTGGCATGGAGGAAGTCCTCAGAAGCTATTTCTTGGAACCATTTTGAGGAGGACAAGGAGGATGCTGGAGAACTTGGTGGCAGGTCTTCAGGAATCCTCACACTGGGGATGGACCCACATGACCTTGACCTGTCAGGGTTGTGCTCTCTTTCCCCCAGTTCTAATGGGATAAGTAACAGTAGTTAATTTGATGTATTAGAGCCTGATGCTCACTTCTCCGGCTGCACTGATGGGTGGCAAATGAAGGAGACATTGGGTTTCTCTGAGAAGATGATGCAGAAGGTGATGCAGGAAAGCCCTTTGCCCAAGGCCAGAACTGTATTGATAAGAATGGTCATTTTCTCTGCTCTCATGACTGGCTGTTACCCAATTTGTTTGACCATTGCTTTCAGATACCTTTCTCTGTGTTTCTAGGGAACAGCATGGAAAGGGCTAATTGGAAGAGAGAGCAGCACCATCCTGGTGGGGAAGAAGATGTTTATCACATAGTGGATGAGGACGAAGCCTTTTCTGTGGACCTGGCCAGCAGGCCCCCTGTCCCAGTGCCCAGGCCAGAGGCCAGTGCTCTTGGCACTCATCAGTTGCCGGACAATGAACCGTACATTTCTAAAGGTAAGTGTGGCAGAGAACCATGCCCAGAGGGGTCTTAAGAGTATCCCAGGAATTTCCTGGGTCCCCTGGCTTTCTGAACCATTGTTCAGAGGCTGTTCTCTCCTGAATGGTCTCTAGCCAGCCCTAGGAGCCTGGGTCATAGCTTGGAACAAGTTCTGGAACTAGACCAGAGGCAATGGTGGAACTCAGTGCCAACCTTCCCGAGTGCTGGCATTCATGTGCAATTGCAAAGACAGGCAAATAGAACCTCAATCAGTTCTTATCTTCTGAAACCCTTCTGGGTATTATTGATAATTTTAATAGCTATCATTTATTGAAATCTACTAAGGGTACTCTATCTGGAAGATGACATTTAATCTGTATGATGATATTTTAGATAAGGACCACTAACCCTATTTTACAGATAAGGAATTGGAGGCTTACAAAGGTCACTCAACTACCATGCAGCAGAGCCAGGATTTGAACCCAGAGACTCTGACTCCCCAGCCTTGATTTTTAGCCTCTATGCTAGGCTGTCTACCAACCTACACTAATAAAAATTGGTGAGACTGGTGTTATAACTGTCCCTGGGTCACCAGTTAAATACTGATGGCATTGTCAGTTTTACTTCTTTCAGAACTTGATTGATTAATATGGTTTCAAGTACTATAAGAGTAGAAGAATCACCAGATCTGTGCTCCTGACTTATATTCCACTTTTAATAGTTATAAGTATGCTGTGGAAGTGTGCTAAAAAGAGATTGTAAATTGGGCACGGTAGTGTTCAACCAGAGTGCCCTGTAACTGGGTTGGGGTTGCCAGACAAAATACAGGATGCCCAATTTGAATGAAAGATAAACAGCCAATGAATTTTTAATGTATGTCCCAACTAGGTCCCTTCTTTGGTTTTGTTTTGCTCAATCTGGTAATCCTAAATTGTGTTGCAATACAATTTGGGGATTTTCTGTACTGGCAAATGCCAACAATACTCACATTTCTTATTTCCTTGGGTGTGTCTCCTTTGACATATCCAGCAGAAACTGTTGGTGCCCTGCCCATGTCCCCTTAGCTCTTTATATTTTTGTCCCTACTGGCTGGATTCCACCTGTGTGCACTGGTTCTCTTAGCCTGACTTTCTCTGTGGTCTGGAGCTTCCTCTGTCCTGTTGTGGGACAGTCTGGAGTCACTGGAGAATTAGCACACAGGGTCCTTCCCCCAAACAGTAGAGAAGTTGGTGGAGGAATATCCTTGCTTACCTGCCCTGCTGGTAGGAGAACTCTGAATTGCATATTCTACGTTGCTTTTCAGGGATCCCTGTATTGCTCAGTGTGGCAACTTGCTTGATAATCCAACATTTCTTGCTTCATCTACTTCTTATCTTGCCTTTATCACCTCCTGAATAGTCTACTTGCCCTTGAATTGTCTCAGGGTCTGCTTCCGAAAGAGCTCACATGAAGAAGCATGCAGATATATATTGGTAATTCCTTAACTATACAGGGGCTGGGGGCAGTGTTGATGGCACAGCTCATACAGGGAGGCAGTTGTGAGAGGGGCACCATTGATTCCCAAAGAGCTCTGATGGACTTGCTAGGAAATTGTGGAGAAGGAAAGGAAAGGACAAAGGCTTGAGGTGACAAAAATGGCAGTGGGTTGGAGGCTGGAATACCTGTGTTCAACCCTCAACTCTTGTATTTTCAAGCTGTATGGCATAGGACATTAGATAATCCATTTCAACCTTTTTAACTTTCTTTTTTCATCTATAAAATAGGTACCACAATGATACATGTCTACACTAATACATATGTCATAATAATGCATGATTATACCCTGTCATAACCTAGTTGTGGGGGTCAAGTGAAATACTACATGAAGAACTACTTTCAAACTTGTAAGATACTAGATAAACATCAGTTAGATTATCTAGTGTTTTTTCACTGCCTTGTCTATTGTCAGATTTTGCTTATCATTTTTTTTGGAGGGGGGGTATGGGGTTGAACCCAGGCATACTTTACCATTGAGCTACATTCCATCTTTTTTTAATATTAATTTTTTTGAGGCAGTTGTCTCATTAAGTTGCCAAGACTTGTCTCAAATTTGCAATCCTTCTGCCTCAGACTCTCGAATCACTAGGATTGCAGAGTAGTAGCCACTCTCATATCTGATAAAGAAGACCATAAACCAAAATTAATCAGAAAAGACACAGAAAATCACTGTTAAAATGAAAAATTCCAACAAGAAGATATAAAGATAGTAAATATTTATGCCCCAAAGTTCAGTGCACCTAAGTACATAAAATAGACACGGCTCAATTAAAGACTCAGCTAGACCTCAGTACAATTATACTGAGTTGTTTCAATATACCTCTCTCACCAATAGATAGGTCATCCACAAATAAAGTTAGACTAAATAAACTTAAAAAGTATTATAAACCAAGTGGACTTCATGGACATCTGTAGAATATTTCATCCAACAACAGCCAAATTCATTTCTCAATTGCTCATAGATCTTCACCAAAATAGACCATACTTTAGGCCACAAAGCCACTCTTAGAAAATATTTAAAAAATTGATAAAATTCTTTGCATCTTATCAGATCATAATGGAATGAAATTAGAAATCAACACCAAGAAAAACTACAGAAACAATATAAACACATGAAGATTGAGTTAGCCACCTTTGAACTATGAATACGTAAAAGAAGAAATCAGGAGAGAGATTTAAAAATTCTTAGAATTAAAAAAAAAAAAAGTAGTGGTACAACATACCAGAACTTTTGGGATACTATGAAGGCAGTTCTAAAGGAAAGTTTATAGCTATGAGTGCCTATATAAAAATATCAGAAAAAGCTCAAATAAACAAACTAATGATGCTTCTCAAGGCCCCAGAGAAAGTAAGAACAAACCAATTCCAAAACCCGAAGGAAATAATTAAGATCAGAGTTGAAATAAATGAAATAGAGAATAAAAAATACCAAGAATCCATGAAACAGTCGGTTCTTTGAAAAGACAAATAAAATTGATAACCCCTTAGCCAAACTAACCAAAAGAAAAAAAGACTCATATTAATAAAATGAGTGATGAAAAAGAAGAAATCACCACAGACATCACAGAAATATAAAGTATCATTAGGGACTATTTTGAAAACTTATACTCCAATAAATTGGAAAACCTGGAAGAAATCTCTAGATACATTTGACCTGCAAAACTGAACCAAAAGCATACAGAAAACTAAAATAGGCCAATAAGAAGCAATGAGAATGAGGCAGTAATAAAAAGTCTTCTAACAAAGAAAAGCCCAGAACCAGATGGATTCTTAGCTGAATTCTATCAGAGCTTTAAAGAACTAATGCCAACTCTTCTCAAATTATTCTATGAAATAGAAAAGGGTGGAACACTTCCAGATTTCATTCTATGAAGCCACCATCACCCTGATATCAAAACCAGATAAGGACACATTAAGGAAAGAAAATTATCTCTGATGAACACAGATGCAAAAATCCTTAATAAGATATTAGCAAATCATACTCAGCAAAATATTAAAAGATTATATACCAAGAACAAATTGGTTTCACCAGGGATGCAAGGAGGGTTCAAATCCACAAATTGATAAATGTGCATTTATTGATAAATTAATAGAAGTAAAGACAAAAATCATGTAGGTATCTCAACAGAAGCAGAGAAAGCTTTCAACAAAATTCATATTAACTAGTAGTGCCAAGGCACTATTGTGTTATTGGCATTGATCTTGAAGTTTAAATATGCATGATGATAATGAAATCTAACATTGAACATGTGCTGGACACTGTTCTAAGCACTTTCCTAGTATTAACTCCCTTAATCCTGATGACAACCCAATGAAGACGCCCTTATCACCCTCATTCTACAGGTAAGAAGTGGAGACAGGGAGAGGTCAAGCCTCTTGTGCAAGATCATATGGCTCATACGTGGCAGAGCCAGGATTTGAAACCAGGGAGTCTTATTGAGACCCCAGGGAACTGTAATACCTACTGAGGGAATATTTGTCATTTCCAGATTTTCTCTGTTGTTCTTTATGGGTCTATCCCATGTGAGTGTCTTCATCTTAGTCCCTTTGGAGCTGTGCACATACTTCACCTGCTCCACTGCTTAGAGTTCTGTCTTGTGGCACTTGTTGGCCACAAGAAGGTAGGTACTCCCTTTTATTCTCAAACTACAAGGTCTTCCATGGCTAGTTTCAGGTGTTCTGGGATCTGGGTACATCTCCTTGTTCCCATGATCCTTTTCGTCTTCTTCTTTTTTCAACTCAAAACTGTTTTTTTTTTTTTAGAGTTTATAGTTATACTGGTAGTTGGGTTCATCCAACAAACTCTTACATGCATGCACTTTTATTTCAGTTCATGATTCCCCCCCTTTTCCCTCCGCTTTTCCCTCCTGCCCTCCCTCCTCTCTCCCATTCTCTTTGCTCTACTTTACTAGACTTCCTTTCACTCATCTATTAATTTATATTCGATTGCTTCTTTCTACCTGTGCATAAATGTGAGGTTCCCTATTGTGCAGCTATACATGCACGTAGCATGATTTTCTAAGAATTTATTCTGCACTGCCTCCCCTTACCCACCCCTCTACTCTGCCTCTTGATCTCCTTCTTCTCTATTACTGATCCTTTATCTTTATGTTATCTTATCCTTCCCTCCCTCTTTCCTTAATTTATGTACACACACACACACACACACACACACACAGTTAGTTGTAGTTGGACACAGTACCTTTATTTTATTTATTTATTTTCATGTGGTGCTGAGGATTGAACCCAGTGCCTCACACATGCTAGATGAGCACTCCACTGCTGAGCCACAACCCCAACCCCCTCTTTCCTTAATTTTTTTCTCTAGCTTCTACATCTGAGAGAAATAGTTGACCTTTGAGTTTCTGAGTTTGGATTATCTCACTTGGCATGATAGTCTCTGTTCTCATCCACTTAACCAGCAAAAAACTTAATTTCATTCTTTTTTTATGGCTGAGTAGAACTCCATTTTATATATAATGTATGTATATATACACCACAATTTTTAATCTATTCATCTATTAATGGGCATCTGGGTTGATTTCATAATTTAGCTATTGTGAATTGTGCTGCTATAAACATCGAGGTGGCTATATCACTGTAGTATGCCGATTTTTGATCTTCTGGAAAAATACCAAGGAGTGGAATAGCTGGATTATATATGGTGGTTCCATTCCTAGTTTCTTTGAGTAATCTCCATATGATTTCCAGAGTGGTTTTACTAGTTTGTAGACCCACCAACAATGTACAAGTGTTCCTTTCCTCCCACAACCTTTCCAGCATTTATTATTGCCTGTTACCTTGATCATTGCCATTCTGACTGCAGTGAGATGAGATCTCAATTTAGTTTTGATTGGCATCTCACGATCCTTTTATTTAATGATCTTGTAAATGCTGACCTGTCCTCTGGCTGGCTCTGTCTTTCTAAGTTTGAGATCTTGTCTGTTTGACCTGTCTTTTTTTGACCATCTCTACTGCTTCTCTTCAGTTTTCTCCTTTTGGAGTCTTGGCTTACACAACTAGAAATGGTGGTCTTACATCTTCAGTTTTTTCCCATAAGGTTTTAATACATTTTTTTTTTTTGCAAAAGTTATAGAGTCCTGAAGAAAGAAAAAAGAAAAATGTTTTTTCTTTTACTCAGAATATTATTTCTCTCACAGTTTTTGCAGAAAAAAGTCAAGAGAGGCCTGGAAATCTCTATGTTTCCTCAGAGAGCATCAGAAAAGGTAAGCCAGCTCTGTCCTCACATCCCTTGGATAAATTGAGGAGAGAGGAGAGAGGTGTTCACATCTCAGGGGGGTGGGTTTCCAAGTATAACAACAGTTCCTTGGCATTGCCAAATAGAGAAACCCAAGAGGAGGAGCTGTCTGAAAATCCTGTACTGGAGGTAACGGATGAGGGGGAAGAAGCAGGTTCCCTAGGCTCTTGTACAAATTGATCATACAGAGGACACTTGAAAGTGTCCATTCAGCACATAAAAGCACAATCTAAACATTGAGACTGATGCCAACAGAATGCAAGTGGTGACCCGGCACCCGGTCTTTCCTGTGATACATACCTTTCAGTTACCTGTTTATCCTGTCTATACTAGTTCAACTGTGCTTTGATTCAACTTTGTTTTGAAAGACATTTTTTTTTTCCTGTCGAGTAATAACTTGGACATGTCATTTTTCTAAAAACTTGTAGTGGAAGTTTGAGGAACTAAGTGCTGCCTCTGCATTCCTTCCTGGAGGGTCTCTACTGGAGAATCTGTCTCTTTGCTCGTTCACATTGTTTTCAGAATTTGTTCTCTGTGATTGTAAACCTGAGATCCCCTTCTCCCGCTGGCTGCTAGTGGAGGGCCAGGCCATCCCTAGCTTCTGGTGACCAGCCAGCCATGTTTAGTTCATAACCTTCTTCCTCGATCTTTTTTTCCTCTTGATTAATTTGCATGTGCTACATAGAAGCACATGCAAGATCCCTTCAAGTCTTTTTTAGTACCCACTGGTGAAGCCATCTCTCTATTTCCTTCTTGCTATGTCCCGAAATCACAGTGTCCAAATGGGGTTGTGCTGAAGGAATTTGGAATCAAGTAGCCCTACATGAATTGAGAAGTAAAATGTCAAGTTGTCCTTACATGTCCCAGTGGCCCCATTCTCTCTGCAAGTAGCTCATTTCCCCACAGAACTGAGGTCATAGCCTGGTCAGTGGGGTGGCTGGCTTCATATTTCCCTAGAATCTCCAAAGCAGAGAGCTGTGCATTTGTAATATGGAAAAGAGGTGGGCACAGAACAACCCAAGGATGTAACCCAGCACTTCATTTATACCTGGAGGTATTGGACCTGGGCCACGATTCCATTGGCATTTCAGTCTCCTTTGGCATTTCATGGCTGTCTGTCCACAATTGTTGCTCAGAGACAGGGTGGGAATGAAGCTGGGAGATGCATCCTAGATAGACTCTTACTGTATATTCTCGAAGTGCACTGGAGTCTAAAGAAGTGGTTCTCAAATGGGGGTGACTTTGCCCTTCTTTACCCAAAGGATGTTTGGCAATATCTGGGGACATATTTGGTTGTCACAACTGGGGAAAGGAGTGCTACTGGCACCCAGTAGGTAGTAGAGGCTCGGAATGCTGCTGAGCATCCTCCAATGCACACGACAACACTGCAATAAAGAATCATCTAGCCCCAAATGTCAATAGTGTCAGGGTTGTGGTCCAAAGGCGCCTCGATAATTAAGGCTTGGAAGATCAAGTGACTTCACGCCTCCCTTTAATGTTGCAGCCTCGTCTGCTTTCAGATGACAAACTTTGAAATTATTAGCTGCTTCCCTCTCACCTGATTTTGTGTCACATTTCCCCCTTGTTGGTTCTGCCTGTAATTGTTCCTTTGGGCCATGTCCTCTCGAGCCTGTGACCAGCCTCATTACCCCACCCTCTTCCTCGGGTGTGCTCTGCCTAGTGAGGAACTTGAAGCTGAGTTCTGCCATCTTTTCCAGAGCCACCCGTCAGGCCATGGAGGGACAGGCCCCAGTCGAGCATCTACGACCCATTTGCCGGGATGAAAACACCAGGCCAGCGGCAGCTCATTACCCTGCAGGAGCAGGTGAAGCTGGGCATCGTCAACGTGGATGAGGCCGTGCTGCACTTCAAAGAGTGGCAGCTCAACCAGAAGAGGCGATCCGAGTCCTTTCGCTTCCAGCAGGTAGCCAGCTCCCTCTGCATGCTCATGTCACTTCTCCGCTGGACAGTGGAGTGGGGGCCATGGCCGTCTTATGCGAATCTATACTGAGCACCTACAGCTGTGCCTCTGAACATCTGCATGGGTGTCCCTTTGAGTCAGGAGCCTCGCGTCTGTGTTCCCTTGTCTGGAACCCCACAGCTCCCTGGCTGAGAGCTGGATGGCTTTTGGGGGTGCTGTAGCTGGAGGTTAGGAACAAAGACTCCTCTGTATACCCTAATTCTGTTACTCTGCACTTGGCCCTTAACTTCTGCTTGTGTTTTTTTTTTTTAAATATTATTTTTTCTCCCTCTCCCTATGTCCATCTCTCTATTTCTTACTTTGTTTTGACAAGGTTTTACTAAATTGCCCAGACTGGTCTTGAACTCATAGTCCTCCTGCCTCACCTCCCGGTGGCTGGGATTACAGGCCCCACCGCGCCCAGCTCAGCCAGCTTTCTTCTTTACAGTCTTTCCCTACTCTCAGAGCCAAACCTCTCACAGAAGGATCCCTTTTTAGGACTCAAAGAGAACTTGGAAGGCTCCCAAGAAATATGATTAAATGAACAAAACAAGTTACAAATACAAAACCACTCGAGTTAAAACAACTCCTACACCAACAGGCTGCGTTTCTCCAGGCGCCCGGGCTGCACAGGCAGAGCCCTGGAAAGGGTCAGTGCATGCCTATCCCAGTGGTTACCTATGGGAGGCACTGAGATTAGAGGACAGGGTGTCACAGACTCTTGCTTTAGCTATGTGGTTTGGTTTTTCATGAGAATAGATAATTCCACATGTTTTAAATTATACTCCATGGATATGCTAAAAAGGAAGATATGGGACCCATGAGGCTAAGAGACAGTCCACTTCCCTACTAAGTGACTGAGTCAGGATTAGAACCATTGCCTTTTAATCTACCTCCTGCTGTGTATATTCTAAGTCCTGTTCTCACAGCATCTGAGACACCAGCTACTGGGGCAGGGGAGCTTGTGGCAGCCACCCAGCAGTGACCCTGGTCTTCTGGGGTGGATGAGGTGGTGAGAAGGCCACAGCAGTGTAGCTCTGAGAGCAGAGTGTGGGCGCTGTGCTAGTGTGGAATAGACCTGCTCTTCCTCGCCCCATAGCATGCCTTTAAAGTAATCATCACACCCATTTTACAGAAAACTGAGGCTTGGAGAGGTGATTCCATCCAGCTCCAGCTCCCTCCAACCCTCCACCTTCCTCCTCTTAGTGCTCCTTAAAATGGGGCACCCTCCATGCCCGGCTCTCCCTCCCTCCCTGACTCTCCCTCCCTCCCTCTGGGCTCTGAAGGGTGGAGGGCACCCTGCAGGGCTGAGGGCAGGAATCCAGGCCCCTCCTCACTCAGGATCCCCAAGGTCGTTGCAGGTCTGCAGAAAAAAGACTGGCCCTGGCCAAACAATGATTCCCCCCGCACCCCGTGTCTGTGACCACGTGGCACAGTAGATACCAGCAGCCAGGCTCTGGAGCCATCAGCCTAAGTTTACACCCTTATTCTGTCACTTGCAACCGGAGGACGTTGGCCTTGCTGTGCCCCCATTTCCCCACCTCTGAAGTATGAGGACGGAGATTAGATGTTGTAAACCACGGAAATCCCTCACGTGCCTGGCGCAGAGTAAACACATACTGAATGGAGCTGTTTCTGTGCCTCTCCATCCAAGAGCATCTTTCTTTCCCATGAACTTGCCCAGAACTCCTGGGTAGAGGGGACAACTGAAGTTCAGGTTCAACACATCAGAGAACCCCAGTCCATGCGAGCACACCCTACTCTGTGCCTCTACAGCCTCCTGGTGCATCCCGAGACTGGTGGGGTGGAGGCTGTTCTGAGGCCCCCGCCCCTGTTCTATTTCCTCTGCCTTTCTGTCTGCCCCCCCATCTTCTTCATCTCCCATTTCTACCAGAGGTTCCCTTCAGCTTCTCTGTGCAGGTGACTGTTGATTCTGTGTCTCCAGTGCCACAGTTCCAGCCACCAGCAGGATGTGTCCTTCTGAGGTGCCCTAGACCTGCTGCGTGTCCAACAACAAACCGTCCTTCCAGGCTGCTTCCCTTTTCCCACTCCCTCTTCCTGTTTACTGCTCTGCCATCTCCCAGAGACCTCAGGCCAGATTCCAGGATTCTATGGCTCTTGACCCATGTCCCTTGTGTCTGGTCGTGTTCTGTGGCATTTTTCCTCTCATATCTGCTCCTGTATTTCCATTACCCCAGCTGCATCCCACTGTCAGCTCTGTCACCTGCATCTGGTCTGTTACCTGGTCTCCCGTGAGGCTCCTTATCTTCAGCTCCTCCCCTCATTTCACCAGAACCTTAAAGCCATGACCCCTGCACAACTTCCAGTGTTTCCGGGCTGCTTCTGGACAAGGCTTATTCTACTCATCCTGCAGTTATGAACTTTCTAGTTTTTCCACCTGGGATTCCCTAACAGGGACCTTCTTCTTCAGCCAGATTGTCTGGACATACCCTCCAGGGCATTGAATGCTTAGATGCTTAGCTTCCCTAGAATGCTCAGATGCTGTTGTTGTTGATTAACTAAAATAGAAGCAAATCTTGAGCCTCAAGTATCTTTCCAAAATTTATTGAATGGCTACAGTAGACCAGATGGCAGGATTATAAAAAGGTACAACACCTGGCCTCTCGCCCTTGGAGAGTACACAGTGTCCCTGAAGAGACAAGGCACACACACAGGCAGGAGCACATGCACACACATACACACACACACACACTTGCAAGTCAGCATATCCCCAAGTGCTGTCAGGGTGGACACCAAGGCCCAGAGCAGTCTGGGGAAGCTTCAGGGAGAAGGTGAGTCTTGACCCAGGCCCAGAACAGACTTGTGGAGAGAAATCAGCATCCTTCAAGGTCAGGGTGATAGTGGGAGGACACAGTCTCAGAGGCAGGTGTATGAGGAGTGTTTGTGAGCAGATCAGAGACCAGCTTATCTCTGGGGTGTCTGTGGAGGAGGGCAGTGGGTTATAGGGCTGAAAATGCTGCTGAGAGCCAGAGAGGAGGGAAGAGACTTTATTGTGGAAGAAATGTCTTCTCTTTAGGTACAAATGTGAAAATGTTTTAGGCCTTGCCTATAGCTTAAAATCAGAAGGAAGCTCTCTAGTATTCAAAGAGTGTAATTCTGGAATATACTTACTTTTTTTCCCAGGAAAATCTTAAACGGCTAAGAGATAGCATTACCCGAAGACAGAGGGAAAAGCAAAAATCAGGAAAGCAAACAGGTATGTGGCTTTCTGGGACGCTGCATAGAGGAACAGTTGTCCTAACTGTCGTGGCCTGAATGAGCAGACTGCTTGCCCAGCACCTGTCTCTCACTCTGTTTACAGATCTGGGTCCTCTACTAGACTGTGAGGGTCTTTCAGACAATGATTCTGTCTTGTTGATTCTCTAAACAATCTAGTACCCAGCACACTGGAAACACATGCCCGTAAATGAATGAACGGAGGGAACTCTGCACTGTTCCACTCTCCTGCTCAGAGAGGATGGCAGTCTCTTCTCCTGAGGCACGCCACTCTACCCTTGGCACTTAGGAAGACACATGTTCTTTGAACACAGAAAGCAAAAAGCCCATTCGATAAAGCCCATTCCTGTCTTGAGGGAGACTGATGTCATCAGAGTCCACACTATACATTGCTTCTCGAGGACCTGCTATAGCAAGGCTCCTCTGTGCAGCCCCAGGGCTGTGCATTTCAGCTGTGCACACTGAAGACTGGGCCTCTCTGCTCCCCTTGACTCCCCCTCCCCGAGGCCACCCTGTGGCACCACCACCCTGAGCAAGTACCTGGTGTATTCACACTGCATCTTGTCACCGAGAGCCTCCAGCCTGCAGAGCTTTGATGCTTTTCCCTGGCTGGGCTTCTAGAGAGAGGATCTGGTGAGAAAAGGCTTTCAGAGGCCCTCAGTCCTGAATGGAGCCCCCTTCCCTGAAGAGCTAAGTTGAAACCTAGCCTTGCTTTTGTGCGGCTTCATAGTCTGCACCCAGCTGCCATCAACCCCCGACTCCTCACTAGCTTCCTCAGGCTGGTGCTACCCTGGTCCCCAGCAGGACACTTTCCCACCACAGGCCCCTTGCTCATGCCTCTTCCTTCACACCTGTATTCTTATAACTGGGTTGCGAGACCCCACCTGGCAGCCTGTCTTCCGGGCCCACTGCAGGGCACCAGGTTCCACCCTCATTCCAGCATCTATAGGACCTGCTGGCTCTTCCATTCGTCTGGCACTTCTGTTTTGCTGCTCTGATTGCTCTGACTTCATTCCTTCATTCAAACCACCAGCAATCCCCAGGGGTTCTGCCTCCAAACTGCACCCTAAATCTGGCCATTTCTTTTTTTTTTAAATTTTTTTCTTAGTTGTAGTTGGGCACAATATCTTTATTTTATTTATTTACTTTTATGTGGTGCTGAGGATTGAACCCAGCGCCTTGCACATGCTAGGTGAGTGCTCTACCGCTGAGCCACAATCCTAGCCCCTGGCCATTTCTGACCATCTTCTGTGCCACAATTGCAACCTAACCACCATCATCTCTTGCTGAGACTGTTGCAGTAGCCTCTTCAGTTGTCCCCCCATGTCCACTCTTGCCCCTTTACAGTTAATCCTCCAACTGCAGCCAATGCCTTTTTAAAAGTAACAAATCAGATGATGCCACTCCCTTGCTCTAAGCCTTTCAGGGGCTCCTGTGCCACTCAGTTGACAGCAAACTCATCATGTGGCCTGCAGAGGCCCACATGAAGTAATCCCTGAGTTCATCCTCCATTTTCCTCCCACCTTGTATCCCACTCCACTCCCCCATGGACTCTTTTATGTTGCTGTAACCAGGCAAGATCATTTCTCCCTCAGGGCCTTTGCACTTGCTGTTCTGCCATCTTTCCTGCTGGCTCTTTTTCATCCCCAAAGAAGACTTTTCTGCCATTCCTCCATGATTCACTTCCTGTTGCCTTGCTTTCCCCACTTTTGTGTAGTACAGGCCAGAATTGCCTTGTGGTTATGGCCTAGAACCCTGCCTCCCTCCTGCAGTAAGCTCCATGAGGGCAAGTATAAGTCTGTTTTGTGCTCTGCTGAATCCCCAGTGTGCAGTACAGTGCAATGACGGAGCTCATGAAGTCTCTGTTGGAATGATTGGTGTCAATAAAATGTGACACCATTCATTCATTCCACAAACACTTATTGAGCAGTAGGCCTCCAGCCAAATAAAGAAACCCATGGAACCCTGTCTTTGCCTTCTGGTAGCTCATGAGTTAGTTGTCTTTTTATTCATATAAGTCTGAGTTTCCCTGCAAGCTTCTGTCCTCTGATGCCTAATATAGTGTATTGTGGAAAATCATAGCCTAGTGAATGTTCATGATTTTGACTGTCAGATGGAAGAGGGGTTAAATGTTATAACTGTGGCAGAATCAGAGAGCTCAGCTAAGGCTTCTGCCTCTGTGTCCAGATTTTAAATTTATGATACCACTACAGATTGTTATGTGCTCTCCTGGTGGAGAGGAAGAGAAAGCAGAGATGGCAGAAAGTCTGGCTCAAGGTCTGGTCTGCACAGTCGTCTGAGGGTCAGATAATAGGGCTCTAGGTGGTAAAAGGGCTGAGGTGCATTTTAAAACTAGAGTTCATGAACCCAAAGATAGAAGCCTTGATTAAATGAAACATTGCAAGTTTTTAAATATAGGCAGCACCAAGAAACCTGTGATTTGGTGGTGCTCCCAGTGTCTGAAGCCCAGGAGTTGTAGCGTTGGAGTCACGTGTGCTCAGCAGTCTGAGCCTTCTGAGTGTCATCACATCTTTACCCCGCTTGGTTCCATCTGGCGCCACAGGAGATATTGAAGCAAGAGAAGTTTCCACGCAGGAGAGCAAGGGTCAGATTTTTGCTCACTGCCAGCTAGGAAGCATGGGTAAGATGCATCACAATCTAGTAGCCTCTGTCCCTGTCTGCATAATGGCAAAAGCAAAAAGTGCCCACCTGTTAGGGTTGCTATAAGTAAGCCAGGGTATCACCCGTGCCTAGCATAGTGCCTGGCACGTGGAAGCACTCTAAACCCAGCTGCCCCTGTGATTACACATGCCCACTCACGGGCTGGTATCCTCTCAGGCAGGGCCTTCCACATTGAGTGTACTTCTCTTGGACTTACCATCCAGGAGTGGGCCCAAGACTAATCAGGCTCCAGATGAGTGATTTCTATCTATTAGTCGTAATAGTCTAAATCAGAATGGTCAATATCTAAAATTTTCTAATGAAGCATGTCTTAATTCCCTCCAGCTGCTCCCCAAGAAGCAGACCCTTTGATAAGAAATTTCTTGTTAATTTTTAAAAAATTTTTAATATCAGGTGATTTAATTAAGCATAATAACTATTAAGTATTAGGCTATATATAATTGGACACTTTATTAGTCAGTATTCCATCTCTGTAAAAAAATACCTGAGATAATCAACTTATAAAGAGAAAAGGTTCATTTTGACTCACAGTTTTGGAGGTTTTAGTTCTTAATCAATTGGGCCCATTGCTTCAGACCTGTGGCTGGAGCATCTGGCAGAACAAAAATACCTCATGGCTAGAAAGTAAAAAAGAGAAAGAGGGAAGGGATGAGGTCTGATTATCCTCTTTAAGGGCATACTCCCAATGACCTAAAGACCTCCCACTAGGCCCCTCCTCTTAAAGGTTCCACCACCTCCCACTAGTGCCAAGTTGGGGGCCAAGGCTTTAACACATGGGCCTATGGGGAGGATTCCAGATCCAAACTTGAACAGGCACTGAATATTAATGACTAGGGATGGCAGCAGTCCACATGGGAGAATGTTCTACCCCTAGGCCCCAAAATGCCTCCTTGTTTTGCATTTTTATTATATTAAAATATGCATAACACCAAATTTACCACTTGAACCGTTTTTGAGTACAGTCCCATGGTGCACAGTGCTTTCCCCAGGCTGTGCAGCCAGCAGCACTTCCGTTTTTAGAATATTTCCCTTCTCTGGCAAGGAATTGAGAGCAGATAGCCCGAATGGAAGGTGATCCCAGGGGACAGAGCAGGGGGTGGGGAAGTGACACAGGGAAGGAGTCGAAGGAGAACACCTGCTCAGCGTTACCCTACCTGAGGAGCAAGCATTTATATACCAGCTCCCGCCTGTCATTGGTTGAGGCCTGCTGGGAGGGGGCACTCATAATTTGGCTATCTTAGATAGTTGGAAGTTGGACCCTGGACTGCAGGATGAAGCCCAGGGGCGTCAGAGCATTTGCCAAAGAGAAGGTATCATTTATGGCTGAGTAGATATGATTTATTAGTTAGCTCTGTAAACCTTGATTGTGTACTTACATGCTAGCTTGAAGTTACCTGTTCTGTGGCTTTTTCACATTGAGCTCCTTGAGGGGCCTTGGGGCTGCAGTATGTGTGTTTGTGGGGGTGGGGGTAGGAACTGGGCTGAAGGAATGGATTAGGGTCCTGGGGCTGGGGCCACTTAACTCTGCTTTGATCATGCAGCTTTTTAAAAATCTGTTTTCTGTGTTGAGCTTCTGTTGTCACTAAAGGAAAGAATTCTGTTTCACCGAAAACAAAAACCATTTGAAAATAATTGGCACGCAATCATTGTTCTACAGGAACATTTGGGTTGATGAGTGGCATTTCTGCCTAAAGGGCCTTTTCTAAGAATGTAACCCACTTTCCACACAAAGACTCAGTCTTAAATAGGCAACTTCATTTGTCTTAGCAAAATTGTTATTATTTTCTTTAACTGGGGTTGGAATACTAAGGATAATTGAAAACGGAGCCTCTGCTCACGATGGTGTGCTGGTTTTTCTTCAGCCTCAGAGAGTAGCTTTGCTCTTACTGGGCTGGGGCTGGTGGCAAAGGAAATCAGCCAAGGCTGATGTGACTTGGACCTTGGTGAATGCCAGGCCCCACAGAGAAGACAATTCATATCTATGTTCTGGGTGTATCCTGTGACACAGAGGAGCAGCTGAGTCCCAGGGAACCCACATTTGTGCCCCCTCTTTGTCACTGAATTACTGTGCAATCCAGGACCGTTCCCTTTAACCACTCTGTGCCTCGGTTTCCTCACTGGAGTTACACCTGACTTACCTACTTAGTGGAGAAGTCATGGCGCCCCGGGGGGAATACAAGTGCCAATGAAGACACTTTGGGAAAGTGCTATACCAGATAATAATGATGATTATTCTTGACATTGTACCTTTATTCAAGGAATGTCAGGATTTTGTAAGCATGTAGACTGGCTCTACCTGATTTTTTTGAACTTTTGACTCCCATTTTCTTTTCCCCTGTGTGTTTTACTTTCCTTCCTCATACAACCGGTTGAGGGTAGAAAATTGCCACCTTGAAGTTAATTAAGCAGACAGGAACCTCCCTTTAAAAGATGATTTTTAAAAATGTAGGACAAAGCTAAGATGGAAAAAAAATAATGTGACATCAGTGTGGTCCCTGGGACCCTGGGGCTCATGCCTGGATGCCTGGCTCTTCTCTGCCCAAGTGGCTCCAGACCTGGTTGGGTGCTTCCACTGGACCCTTGTAACCAAGAGAGCCTCAGGAGTGTAAGATTCTACAGCACACCAACAGCTGAGAAGCTGCTTGACACGAGGCCCAGATGGTGCCCCTGGACCCAGAGTTCTGCTGGACCGATGATAATACCATTGATTTCTTGGGTGTTGTAGGGATTCAGTGACCTACAAATATGGAGCCCCTTAGAACTGAGCCCTGTGCATAGGATGGCCTGTCATTACTGCCAATCCCTACATAACCCCCACCTCAGACAAGGGGAGTAACTCAAGAGAGATTGACTGACTTGCGTGATGCACTGCACAGCTGCTATGCGTCAGGGCTGGGATGCCACGGCATGTTCTGTCCACTCCCTGCTGAGGAAGTGCTTCTCTGCCTCTCTCAAGTCTGACTACCCCGCCCTTCTGTCTCCCAGCTTGGCCACTTAGCATTCCCTGGAAGTCCAGTGCTGAAGTAGGCGGGGAGAACAACCCATGGCCCCAGCCCCTCCTCTGGGCACCCCCAGGCTCAGGCATGGGAGGCAGGTGGCCATGAGCAGTTTGGCAAGTGACAGACTGCCCTCTGGAAGCTCATCTCTCTTTCCTCTGATTCCAGACTTGGAGATCACAGTCCCCATTCGGCACTCACAGCACCTGCCTGGAAAAGTGGAGTTTGGAGTCTATGAGAGCGGCCCCAGGAAAAGCGTCTTCCCCCCAAGGACAGAGCTGAGACGAGGAGACTGGAAAACGGACAGTACCTCCAGCACAGCGAGTAAGCAGCCCACCCAGCTGGACTCCAGCCGGAGCCACGGCACCTTCGGAGACATTCCGTTATGAGCCCAGAGATCTCAGTTGGGGCCTGATATGTTTTTTTTTTTTTAATGTATTTTTCATTGTTGATGGGCTTCATTTTATTCATTTATTTACATGCAATGCTGAGAATCAAACCCCAGAGCCTCACACATACTGGACAAGCATTACACCACTGAGCCACAATCCCAGCCCCCTCATATGGTTTTGAGAGGTGTAAAATATGGGGCATGGTTAGCCTGTGAGGTTTCTTCTTATCTTGTGAAGCCAGGTTGCATGATATTCTTCTTCTTCTTTTGGTAGTTGGAGATGGACAGAATGCCTTTATTTTATTTGTTTATTTTTATGTGGTGCTGAGGATCGAACCTACGGCCTCACAAGTGCAAGGCAAGCACTCTGTCACTGAGCTACAGTCTCAGCCTTACTCTTCCTTTTTATAAATGGCAAAACCTAACTATAATAGTTAACATTTATTGAGCATTGGCCATATGTGAAGCATTTTTGTAGATTATTTCATTCTCACAAAACCTCTATAAGATAGGTACTTCGACCTCTGTTTAATGAGGAGAAACTTCTAGGCTTGGTGTCTGTCCTGGGTTGAGAAGCTAATGGGGTCAAGCTGGAATTTGAACTCCCATCTGGATCCAGAGCCAAGATTCTTGACCCCTATTTTGCTGCTTCTCCAGCTATGCTAAGGGGAAGGCAAGGGTGCAAGATCAGAAGCATTAGAGAACAATGGACTCAAATTCAAGAATTCCAGCTTTACTGGTGGTTGAGAATCTCATTAGGAAATGTCTTCTTTTGGCTTGAAAGCTTGAATAGGAGTCTAATTGCAGCAGACATTGCCTGCCAGCAGGCGGGCAGGGGTTGGGAGCTTTGTTTTCTCATCCAGGACTGTGTTAGCCTACGCCAGACACACTGGCTTCACAAGCCCAATAGGTTGGGCTTCTCTCGTTTTATACATTTCCATGTTATTAAAATAGCTAGAAAAGCAATGAAAGAGCCAGCGAGAAGCTGAATTTCAGAACTCATGTCTCCTTAGATGTGAGTCAGAGAACCCCCAAATGAATGTTGGAGCAGGAAGGTCATGTAATTTGAGGTTCTTAATCCTTTCTACATCACAACCCCCTTCAGAATCCAATATGTGTTATGGATCTGTTCTCCAGAGAAATCCACACATCTGTACACACACACATATACACACACACACACAAACACATACACACACACTCACAATCCTAATTTTGCCCATCCGTGGACCTACATCAAGAATCTCTGAACTAGTTGCCCTCTTTATTCCATAGATGGGTTATTTGTGACCCAGAAAAGAAAAAATTTTTGTTCAAGGCCACACAGCTAGAGAGCATCAAAAGTGGGAGTAGAGGGCTGGGGTTGTGGCTCAACGGTAGAGCACTTGCCTAGCACATTCGAGGCCCTGGGTTCGATTCTCAGCACAACATAAAAATTAAACAAAATAAAATTATTGTGTCCAACTAAAAAATAAATATTTAAAAAATAAATAAATAAATAAAAGTGGGAGTAGAACCCAGCCCTTGGTCTCTTTCAGGTTAAGGTTCCTGCCACCATTACCTGTCCAAATAGACCCAAAACTTAAACACTACCACATGGGAAGTCTAGATTGTACAGAGGAGAAAATCTCTCTATTAACAGTGGGGGTGATAATGTGTAGTCACCCCTCCCCATCCCCACCAGGCCATTTGGGAATTCCAACAACTTCAGAAATGGGAAAGAGTTTCCTAGCAATCTCAGGTGGCAGAGGAAGCAAGGGGCAGAGAGTGCTGCTCTGGACACATGGGAGAAGAAAAATGTTAGAGCAAGCTCTGGTGAGGACAGTGTATTCCAGAGTTGGGGAGGGGACTGACAGCTGGAAATTTGACAAGACAAATGCAAAGTCCCCATTTCATATGAAGGGTACTATAATTGAAAAGAGGTTATGTACATGTTTTACTTTGAAATTGGTTGGGGTTAGGACAAGATGGAAAGAATAGACTGTAGTTTTTACTTTGTGTAGTGGTTTATTGTCCAGGGATGGCTACTCATCAGTTAGAAAATGTTACTAAATGACAGACTAATGGATTGTATGCTATTTTGTGGCTATTCGTGACACTCAGTTCCTTTTTTATAGTTTCCATTATCTACTGCTATGTAACAAACCACGCCCAAACTTAGTTGCTTGAAACATAATCACTTATTTATGCCTGATTCCATAGCTTGAGCATATTTGGAGAGAATGGCTCATACCTCCTCTGTGTGGCATTGGCTGGGGTCACTCATGTGACTGCAATCCGCTGGAACATCCAAGATGGCCTCTTATCCTCCAGGGCCTCCCTCCACATAGCCTTTAATTCAATAGCCTGGATTTCTTACAGGGCAACACAATCTGGAAAGGGAACATTCCAAGAGGAGGAGTCCCATTTGTGCAAGTGCTTATCAGGCTTTGGCTTGCATCAGTTGCACTTGCTAATGTTACATTGGCCAAAGCCCACAGTGAGGAGGAATGGGGCACACAGAGGCATGGATACCGTGAGGCGAGTTTCACTGGGGTTCCTACAGGTTGGCCTGTTACCTTGAAATTGAAGACGATGAGGAAAAATATTGCCATGAATCAAATGCTTGCTTTTTGTAGGCATTACCACATGATCTAATTCATCCTATACCACAATGTCATGAGTTTCTACATAAGAAAATTGACTTAGAGAGGTTAGGCAACTTGTCCTGGGTCTCTGTGCAAGAATGTGGAGGTATCTCTGGGGACTTAAAGAACCCAGGGGTGCTTTACTGCTGAGCTACATCCCCAGCCCTTTTTATTTTTTATTTTGAGACAGGGTCTTGCTAAGTTGCAGAGATATTTTTGAACTTTAATCATATTTACCCTTTCTTGATTTCTTTTTTTGGGAGGGTAGGAGGTAGCTAGGGATTGAACCCAGGGGCCCTCAATCACTGAGCTACATCCCTGGGCCTTTTGATTTTACTTTTTGAAAACAGGGTCTTGCTAAGTTGCTTAGGGCCTCACTAAGTTGCCGAGGCTGACTTTGAACTCTCAATTCTCCTGCCTCAGCCTCCCAAGCCACTTGGTTTACATGAGTCTTGTTTTGACTTTTCTTTCTAGCACAGGGGATTGAATCCAGAGACACTCTACCACTTGGCAACATCCTCAGCCCTTTTTTATTTTATTTTGAGACTATGTTTCCCAAGATGGCCTTGAATTTGTAGTCCTCCTGCCTTAGTCTCCTGAGTTGCTGGGATTATAGGCATGTGCCACTGTGCTTGGCTCTCTTGTTATTTGGTTCAGGGGACTGAACCCAGGGGTGCTTTACCACTGAGCTACATCCCCAACCCCTTTTATTTTTAATTTTGAGACAGGGTCATGCTGAGTTGCAAAGCTATTTTGAACTGGCAATCATCCTGACTCAGCCTCCCTAATCACTGGGATTACAGGTGTGCATCACCATGCCCAGTGTGCCTGGCTCTTCCTGTGCTCCAATCTTGGGGAAACCCTGTCTTCCAGATGAAAATAACTCCCAGGGCAGAGAGGAAGTATGAGGGTGTCTGGACTCTGATCCATCAACTATCTCCACAGTCACATCCTGAAACTAGCTCTATTTTTAGAGCTAAATAACTGCCATCTTTGGGAACTACAGAAAAACATTTGCAGATTAATTCTGGTTAGAACTGAAAATTTAGGCCCGAGATATTAGTGTTATGTCTAAGAGAACAAAAGTTCCATTGCAGAGAGTCTTTCTCCTAGACTTTTTGGTCCAGGTTTCGTAAGAGTTGCACTGTATGTATTTCCTTTTCCTCCTCATTCATTCATCCACCAAATAGTGAGCAGAGCTCTATGCAAACTGAGCTGACTGCATGCTGGAGACACAAAGATGAAAACAGAACCAGATCCTGTCTTTAGGGGTTTGTAATAGAGGAGAGAAAATACAGAAACAACACAAGTTAGATGCTCATCTGATCCTTCTTCCCTGATGACGGGACCCGGTAAGGGGTGGCACTGCTCTCCTAACCCCTGGCAAGACTGAAAATGATGGGGGGGTGGGGCCAGGGCCTCCTACTAACTGTTCAACTCAGGGCAGATATGGGCCAGAGTCATCAGCCTAGAGAGGGGACAGGGCTGGGCAGTTGAATCCGGGGGCTGAGGTTTGGAACTAAACATTGGGGTTAAAGATTTAAAGATGCCAAGGGAGTGGACAGTGGGAGCACATATGTATGAATTTCCAGAATTATGGGGCCAGTAGCCATGATTGCTTTTTACTTCCTGCTAGCTAACAGATAACCTTCACAACAACAGTCTGGTTCTTTGGGGAGAAATGTGATGCTCAATCATGAATGACCTGGGGAGATGGCAGGCAGATGGCAGCCCAGGGCCCAGGAGTTGCATTTAGCTGGAGGAATCTGGGGGAGGTTTTGATGACATTTGTCAGTGATGAGGAGGTTTTAGACTTGTGGACAGCAATGAGCCAGGGGGAATGGGGATATAAAGACATTCTGGCCAGGTGGACAGTGTTCTGGTAGATAGGGACAGGATCCCATGTTCTTCGTTTTTTTAGATCCCATGTTCTTTAATAAACAAATTTTAATTTCCTAGTTTACAGATATATTTTGCCACATTATTTGAAATTTAAAAATCCCACATATAAAGAACTCAAAAAACTTAACACCAAGAAAACCAAATAACCCAATCAATAAATGGGCTGAAGAACTAAACAAACACTTCACAGAAGAAGAAATACAATTGATCAAGAAAGATATGAAAAAAATATTCAACATCTCTAGCAACTAGAGAAATGCAAATCAAAACTACTCTAAAATTTCATCTCACTCCAGTCAGAATGACAATTATCAAGAATACAAGCAATAATAAATGTTAATGAGGATGTGAAGAAAGAGGTACACTCAGACATTGCTGGTGGGACCGCAAATTGGTGCAACCATTATGGAAAGCGGTAAGGAGATTCCTCAGAAAACTTGGAATGGAACCACCATTTGACCCAGCTATCCCACTTCTCAGTTTATACCCAAAGGACTTAAAATCAGCATACTACAGTGACACAGCCACATCAATGTATATAGCAGCTCAATTCACAATAGCTAAACTATGGAACCAACCTAGATATACAGATATATGGATAAAGAAAATGTGGTGTATATACACAATGGAATATTACTCATCCTTAAAGAAGAATGAAATTGTGGCACTTGCCAGTAAATGGATAGAGCTGGAGAATATCATGCTAGATGAAATAAGCCAATTCCCCAAAACCAAAGGCTGAATGTTTTCTCGGATATGTGGATGCTAATTCACGATGGCGGGGCATTGGGAAAGAATAGAGTTACTTTGGATTAGGTGGTAGAGGGGAGAGAAAGGAGGGGAGGGGGTATGGTGGTAGGAAAGATAATAGAGTGAATCAGACATTATTACCTTATGTACATATATAACTACACAACTGATGTGATTCTACATCACTTACAACCAGAAGAATGAGAAATTATACTCCACTTATGTATGATGTGTCAAAGTGCATATACTGTCATGTATAATTAATTAAAACAAATTTTAAAAATCCTAAGAAGCAATCCAAAATTACAACTAACCAACTCTTTTCCAGCTAACATCTAAATAAATTAGGTTGAAGTTGATACCATAAGCAGGTCAAAATTAAGACTACTTACCTGCATACTAAAATGATTTGGACCTATTTTAAGAGGAAACTCAGCAAACCTAAGATCTGGTGATATGATCAGTGGCATTATTGGTAAATCAAAGTTAAAATCTTCTTGCAAAATAGTTGATTAACTCTTACTCTTCCTTCTTCACTGCTAGATCACCATGTGATTAGGCAGCTTCTAATGCTGTACTAGACAGTACAGTAGCCACTGGCCACATGTGGGTATTTATAGTGAAGTTAATTACAACTAAATAAAATTTAAAATTCATCTCCTCAGATGCATTAGTCATGTTTCACACTGGCTACCATTTTGGATAGCCCACAATGGAACATTTCTAGAAAGTTCTATTGGGTAGTGCTATCTAATGACAGAGTTGTGATAAATTCCCAACTCAAAAACCTAAACACGTAAACACACATAGTCACAGTTTCTACCATGAGCTTAGATTATACTTTTGAATTTGTGTTTTGCATTTTTTTTCTGTTTGTTTTTATGGTGTAGGGGTTTGAACCCAAGGCCTTGCACATGACAGAAAAGTGCTCTACCACTGACCTACATCCCCATCCCCCCCCCCTTTTTTTTTTCATCCAGGTGTCTCTCCCCTAATTAGCGTGGTATGTGGGGCTGGGGCTCTAGCTCAGTGGTGGAATGCTTGCCTAGCATGTGTGAGATTTGATCGGTTTGATCCCCCAGAACCACAATGAAACTAAACAAAAAAACTAATACAAGGGGTGTATGCATGTGAGATTCATGCACTCATTTCCTGGACTTTCTCAATGAGCACTGCAGCAATAAAACTAGCTTGCAGATTTCAAGAGATACTGAGCAACTTAGAATGAGACCACCTCTACTTCCCTGCCTGTCAAATCAAAGCTCTCTTATCAAATAGGATTTTCAAGGGAATTAAATGGCAATCATGTTTCTGAAGCACTTAACATGTGGTAAGCCCTCAGTCAATGGCAGCTATTAAGCCAAGAGTGGTCGTCAAAAAGTGAACCATTTCATGTCCTGCTGAAAGAAAAACTGAACTCTGATAAAAGGGCATACGATGGACACATTTGGAAGAATCCTGTGTTCACAGCTTATGTATTGTTTCTCTCCATAAAAATAAATAAATGCTAGAGCTCTGCATTTCCTTTCCTCCCGAGAGAATCCAACCGTCTGGCTGATTTTGTTTTTACCCTCTAGGTAGCACAAGTAACCGATCCAGCACACGGAGCCTCCTGAGTGTGAGCAGCGGGATGGAGGGTGACAACGAGGTGAGAACGGGGACTCCCACCCATCTATCTGTGCTAGGTGTTGTTTCATTGCAAGAGACTGAAATCCAGGTGAAGAAGCCAGACACAAAAGGTCTTATATTAGAGGATTCATTTTATATGAAATCTTAGAAGAGGCAAATCCAGAGAGACAGAAGGACCACCGGGGGTTGGTAGGGGTGGTGGGAATGGGGACAAACTGCTTAATGGGCACTAATGGTTACACGATTTCCTTTTGGGGTGATAAAATTTTTTTCTTCCCATGTTGGGGATTGAACCCAGGGCCTCATGCATGCTAGGTGAGCTCTATACTGAGCTACATCCCCAGCCTTTTTTATTCCTATTTTTGAGATACAGTCCTACTAAGTTGCTCAGGCTGGCCTTGAACTTGCCATCTTCCTGCCTCAGCCTCCTGATTTTCTGGGATTACAGATGTGTGTCACCATGCCTGGCTCTGAAATGTCTTGAAACTAGACAGACAGCAAAATTGTTCACTGTAAAATGGTTGGTTTTCTGTTATGTGAATTTTCCCACAATTTAAAACGAAGGAAGGGATGATGGAAGGAAGAGAAGAGGGAGGAGTGGAAGGAAGGAAGAGGACAGAAACATTCAGACTAATTAAGCCAAAAGGGGTATCTGTGGGAAGCAGCTGGGGAGTCTCAGGAGATTCAGGGGCAGGGATCATGCAGGGGCCTAGATCAGGAGCTGCAAGGCCTGCCAGAGGGACAGGGCCAAATGTGTGTGTCCTGTGTGTCCCAGAGCCAAATGCTCTTTGGTCTCTGCCTCTTTGTGCAAATTGGCTTTCTTCTCTCCTGTACTCTGGCTTTTCCTGCTTCTCCATATGTGCAGTGTCGCAGTCCCCAGAAAGCCTCTGGGCAGTGAGGAATTTTAGGCTGAGGCCACACTCCAAGTTGGCCCAATTTGGGTCAGGTTGTGTACCCTGATCTAGTGACCGGTGGCTGGGAGGAGCAGCTGGAACCACTTGCGTCACCACCAACTCTGAAATCTCCTGAGAACAGGTCAAAGGAGGCCATTTCTGGCCTCCTTTAAGCAATGAGGATTTAAAGTCTAGGAGTTTGTGATAATTTGGGCCAGATTATCTTTTTCAGTTACTCCAGGAAGACATAAAAAGCTGCCTGGTGTTTTGGGGTTGATTACCAGTTTATAGACACCTGTACAGTCAAAGCCCAAGAAGGGCTGATGGGTGGTGGGGATATGGGTGTCCAGCTATGTGGGTGGTTTAATGTAATTTTCACCTGTCTTTCTCATTTTCTTTGCTGTAGGACAATGAAGTCCTCGAAGTTACTAGAAGTCGTAGTCCGGGCCCCACACAAATGGATGGACCACTTACTATTCCCCTTGAGAGGCCTCCCAGGGTGCCTCCTCGAGCTGCCTCCCAGAGGTAACATTGAAGCTGATATGAAATATCAGGGAAGGGTAGGATTCAGGGAACAGAGCTACCTGGAATGCCAGCTTTTTCGGCAGTGGGTTTTTCATTAACTTAGGTGATACTTTATTTAGTTGCAGATACTTTAAGTAGCAAATGTACTACTTCATAAATGAAATTCATTGACAGATGTCAACTCTTAAAATAAAGTTTATGTTTGGCTAGAATCCAAGTCCTTAATATCGAACTCACTTGACTGTATTGTGGGGACAGTGCCTTTGGGAACAGGAGATAAGAAGGACTTGGAAATGAAATGAAGGAGGAAGCAGACTGGCCTGTTAGGCGTGCACATGGCTCCGGAGCTACCCTCCTGGGGCCAGGTGTCCAGCTGATGAATTCAGTGCTTGGATGAATTTTTGCACTTTTATGTGGCTCAATATTCTTTTCTATAAAATGTGGTCACTATCAGAAGTCTCTCACTGAGTTATAAGGATCGAGTTCATGGCCTATGTTAAGAGTTCAAAAATATGAATAGTATGTCTTATGCAGAAGAGCAAACACCTGGAGATTTGAAGATGAGCATTAGCATAAAGAGTGTGACTAATATACTAGGCTCTGATGTATGTCTTCCTGCATTTGGTACTGGACCTCTGGTAGGAATCTTCTTATATAGTCTTTGTGGAGTAACAGAAAAAGTGGTCAAAGCTAGCTAGTGTGTCCACCAATACAGAAAGGAGCCATTGGGAATAAAAGTCTTTAATTGTCTTAGGAATTTAATTCTTTGATGTTTAAAATATAATATGCTAGGTGCAGGGGATAAGAAAGGAGGAACCCCCCCCCACACACACACACACAAACCCAGGATGTTTTTGTACATTCTGAAACTTTAACATAAAGCTCATTAGTGGAATTTGTAGGGAAGTGTAACCAGGAGGCTTTTCTTCTAATTTTCTGAAAAGAGAGGCCAATTTTGTGCTTTTCCATTTCTCCTTTGCTATTTACCACTTTTGCAACATTTATGAACTGACACCTGCCTCTCAAACATCCTACAGCCCCAAGCCGCACCACATTCGACAGGTGTATTTCTCTGGTGTGGACGAGAGGGCACATATTAGAATATCACCACTCAACAAGGAACCTGAGTGATAATCTAGTCCAGTCTCTTGAATTTGTATTATGTTCTATTGGTTGAAAATTTAGCTGGTGATTGTGGAAGCACCTTATTAAGAGCCATTATGGTAATAAATGCCATTATTTATTGTGGCAGGTTTTATATCAAACACAGTAGATACATTATCTTGTTTAATTCTCTCCACAGCCCTAAGAGATGGATATTTAATGTTATCACATTTTGCAGATGCAGAAACTGGGGCTTGAAGTTGGGTGGAGACTTGGTCTGTGTGACATACCTGAGCATAACTGACTCTGGGACAGTTTTTTTTGGGGGGAGGGGGTAAATGGGGGTTGAACTCAGGGGCACTTGACCACTGAGCCACATCCACAACCCTGTTTTGTATTTTATTTAGAGACAGAGTCTCATTGAGTTGCTTAGTGCCTTGCTTTTGCTGAGGTTACTGAACTCATGATCCTCCTGCTTCAGCCTCCCAAGTTGCTGGGATTACAGATATGTGCCAACACACCCAGTTTAGGACACAGTTTTTTAGTCACTGTGTCAAGAAAGTCTCCATGTCAGGGGAGGAGACCCAAGATCCAAAACCTTTTATTCCTGAAGGCTGAGGACTTTGGGGGCAGTTGTCTAATTGTGTTAAAACAAAAGAGTTGGGCTGGGGTTGTGGCTCAGTGGTAGAGCACTTGCCTAGCATGTGTGAAGTCCTGGGTTGGATCCTTAGCACCACATATAAATAAATAAAGTAAAGGTATTGTGTCCATCTACAACTAAAAAAAAAAGAGAGAGAGAGAGAGAAAAAGAGTTGTCAAGCTTGAAACTATAGCTATAAAAGATTGTAGGATTTTGTTTATGGAAGAGAAAAAGAGAGTGATCAAGGTTCCAGAAACTAGAGACTGGAAACTGGGATGCACTTAAAACCTAAAAAGCGATGGCAGATGAATTATATTTGGGGAGTTTGAAAGAATGTTGTGAAAATGATGGGAGGAAAAGGGGAAAAATACTCTTTGTTAAAGAGACAGCATTTGCAAAGAAACCTGTAATTGATGGAAGTTGGGGTTTCCACGCATTTTTTTTTTGGTGTGAAATAACATTTGCAAATATGCAATTATATTGTAAGCATGTATTTTCATAATAAAATGAGGCAAACTTTGAGCAGGGAATAAAGTGAGCTCCTCTCCTGAATGGCTTGGATGACTGACCTTCTGGCAGGCTGCAGAGGCTGACTGTATGTCCCCATCTCACTCTCAGATCTGGGAATGGGCGACTGCTCTCAGCCCTTGTTCTCCTGAACCACCATTCCCACTCAAGCTGCACTGTCCAGTACAGCCTTGATCCCACACTATCCCAGATCTGGTCCAATCCTGGGCTCACTCCACGTTTTATCCCCAGAGCCTGAATTGCCATCAGCAGATAGCCTCCATACCTCCATTGTCATCTCCATCTTCATCTCCTGATGTTGACTGGGGATCTCCACCCAGATGCCCCACAGGGATGTCAGACACTGCCTGTGCAAAACTGAGCTCACCAGCCTACCAAACATTCTGGGCCCAAGCTGCCTCCTTCTCATGCATTCCCAGTCTGGGATTGTGGTGTCATTCTTTCTCTTCTCTAAGCCCCAAACCCAAGAGTCCTCCTCAAGATTCCCCACTCCAGACTTTGCCCATTCTGCTACTCTGTCAGCTCTCAGAGCCACCCTCTCCTTCCCATCTGCCAGTGCCTAAGTTCATCTTGTAGGCCCACACCTACCTCCCTGCCTCTCGTCAGTCCCTCCTCCACATGCAACCAGCATGCACTTTCTAGAACAGAAATAGCTGATGATGTCATTTCCTGGCTTAAGAGCCTTCGGATTTAAGTCTGTGTATTAAGTCCCACTCCTCTCCTATATTCACCTATGCTCCAACCCATTAGGAAATCTGTGTTATTTTGTACTGTTTTCTTTCTTCAATCTGTTCCTTTTGCCTGGGAAGCTGTCTTTCTAGTCCCTTCCAGTCTCTGCTTATGCATCCTTTAGGACTCAGTCCAAACATTACCTCCTCTAGGAAGCCTTCCCTGATATTTCCATGCAGAGTGTTTCTACTTTTGTTTCCCCAAATACCTCTATTCTAATACATTCCACATTGCAACCCTTATTACATCCCTGTCTCCTCAAGTGGATGGTGAACCTTGCGAGAGGAAAAACTACTTTTGATTTAATTTTTTAGATGTTTCCCCTGGTGCCCGACACAGGGGAAACTGGGATGCACTTAAATACCTAAAAATACACTGGCGTGTATTAGGAACTTAGTAAATATTTATTGTGTAAATGGATGGATGGATTGTAACAGCTTGGGTTGGACTTCCTAAGCCCTTAAAACAGCCATCAAGCCACCCACCATGGTGCTGGTGGTTTACAGACAGTAGAAGGAGCTTCTGCTCTCACCTACTGTGAGTTCCCAGTACATTTATTTGAAGAGACAAAGAAAAGAAGGAAGATGGTGGTGAGGATTGGAGCAGGTGTGGTGTAACATTGCCTGGTATTTCCCTTGCTCCTTAGACCCCTTAGGGTGGGACAGTGTCAGCTCTGCGTAGGTAATGTCCTGTCACAGTTGAGGGGAAAAAGGAAAACTTTCACTAAGTATTTCCCTTTTGTTTTGAACTTATTTGGCCATTCACTAGTGAGTTGCCATCACTAACCAACACTTGGATTTAAGGAAAAGCCTGTGACCTATATAACCAGAACCTGCTTCTGGAGGCCTCCTACAGCCCCATGAGTTAATCCTTTAGTTTCTGACTGAACAAGGTCTGTGGAAATCCAACGAGGGACTGGAGAGGTCAGGAAATGAGTGGACTTGGGACACAGCTACATATTAACTAATAGGGAAGTTAAAAATTATGTTAAATAGAGTAAATGACCACACAAAGGCATACCAGAAAGGAGCCCTATTTTAAAAGAACATTAACCGACCTCAGGACTGAGTGCTGACGATGTGTGAACCAAAGTCTTCATAAGTGACCTGTCACCCTGAACAGGGAGGAGAAAGAGGCCAATGCCTACATGTCTCTGATCAGTCAACTCCAACTTCAGCTTCCCAGTGTTCTGGAGAGGCAGGCTCTCCACAGACCACTCCCCCATTTGGATCTAGAACCTTTCTACCCCCCAGGTTCCAATACGTGTACAAGTCCCTTTCTCCAAGATGGGGTTTCCAGTCTGTTCCAGGAGTTGCTCATCAGAATGAAACACAGTAGATGAGCATGGAAGCTCTGCAAGCATGATATGGCATGCTCGCAGGTCCACCCAACTGCGGCGTGTGGCAGCAGAACGAGAGAGAGGCATTGGGAGGGAACTGTGTCTTGTAGAGGGAGATAAAAGTACCAGTCTTCCGGGGAAAAGATCTTAGACTAACCTTTCATCCTCATAGTGAAATTTTTAGCTTTACTTCTCAAGTGCCTACTCCAAGCCCCAAACTGTGCTGTCTGCTTCCAGTTGTCATTGCTATGCCACACATACTCTAACGTAGGTGTCATTAACTCTGTTTGCCAGATGAGAAGACAGTCTCAGAGAAGTTGAATTTGCATACACACAGGTGTGCATAAATGTCTCCACTAGATGTTCCTGTATGTTCTTACCTTCCCCTATCAAAACACTCAACAGAGTATCTGAGTTGGGCTATTGTCTGTCTCATCTACACATTTACAGTATCTTAAGGGCCAGATTCATGCCCATTTTACTTGTTGCTACATACCACATGCAGGAGTACATGCATGGTAGGCAAATGTTTGTAAAGAGAGGAAGGAAGGCAGGGAGGGAGGGAGGGAAGATGTTTGGGGAGGGAGGGTTTCTCAACCTTCATTGTTCTCTTATAACACACAGTTTATAGGGCAGGCTGGGGAGAATGGGAGCAGACCACCCTTTCACTTTCACTGGATAAAGTTCAGTTACTCAGCGACAAAAAACACAAAACCATCTATCTCAGGGAGCAGGGCAGGAAGAGGTCCTTCTGTGGTTATTCATTGCTACTTCTACCTTGTTCCTGAAGTGGCCCTGCACTTCCCAGCTCCGTTTTCATTTCCTTGACCTACGTAAAACTAATATTCAGGAGACATTTAGTAAATATTTACTCATTGATTCATTCAGTCCTCGAGTATGCAACTCCCGGGTAGTACAGTTCAATTACAGCATCTGACAAAGCTCTCTTTCTGGACTTATTGACTTGCTTCCAAGAGAATTAAATATTGGTTTTACAGCACACATGTGGAAATGCCATTTGTAATCATTGAACCTGTCTGTAAATAGACTCGCCCTGGTCTACCTGGAGTGTCATTTAGGACCTTACAAAAACCTTCCAGCATAACACGGAGAGAGGCTTTAGGAAAGCAAATGCAGAGTTGAAATAAGACCTAATGGTCCCACAGGAGGTGGTTCTGAGCAGCAGACTAAGTTCTCAATTCCTCTCTCAGCAGGCCTCCCTACCACACGTGGGCTCCTGCCTGGCTGCCTATTTGAATCACTGGTGTTTTAAGATCTAGGTTTCATTATTATTTAGGTGTGGTAAGGTCAACATATCAGGAGAAAATGGCCACTGAAAAAACATAGTTCCCAAGAGCAGGGAACATGTCACAGCATGGCGGGGGGGGGGGGGGTGTGTGCTCACACCAAGAAGCACCAGAGTTGGTTGGGAAGCAGAGGGAATGAAGGGAAGACTTGGGCAGGAGCTTTCATTATGGTTTCCATAGGAAGAAATGAGTGAGATAGGGTTGCTGTTTTAGGATCTGCTAGTGGGATCTGGAGCATTGGCTCTCCCTAATTATCTCATATCTGACCCTGGGGAAAATCCAGATTGGATAATGACCCCAAGGAAATGGATGGATATGGGTGTGGATGAGGTGGTTTGTAATAAAAGTGTGCTTGGTGCTTGCAGATGGGTATCTTGTTTGTGAATCAGTCAGGACCAGCTAACCCTGGAAAACAGTTCCTCCAAGGGCGACAAGACTCCAAGAGGGAAAACATCAGAAAATAAAAGATGTAGTTAATACAGGTGGTTACAGAAGGGACACTATTAAAATGTTTCAATGCTTGAGCCATGTCCTCCAGAGATTATGATGGGATGCATCTCGGATGGAACCTGGGAATTGGTATTGTTAAAAGCTCCACTGGTGATTCTAATGTGCAGCCAGGATTGTGAGCCACCGCTGGCATGCATGTCACTCAGACACTTTCAGGGTGGATCCAGTTTCATTAATTGAGGGATCTGTCCTTTGTATATTACACAAAGTTTACCACAAATCATGGATGCCTAAGAGCTATTTAATCATGTTACTTCTAAAATAGAGTTGCTTTATCTTTCATTTCAGACCTCCAGCCAGAGAGAACTTTCTTCCTCCTCCACCTGTTCCACCCAGAGGTCGCTGATTCCATCTCCTAAGACCTGCCTTGCTGCCGGACTTTTAAGACTTGCAATTTCCAGCCTGTTAATGATGACTTCATGTTGAGTTTTCTGGCATGACTGCTGACTTTAAGATCCAGTCTCATTGCTGACATTGTTGCAACCCTGCTGGCTTGGGTTATCCTTGAAGAGGAATGAAGAAGTGAAAACCAAGGACTTGATTCACCATCATCAAGTATTTTGATCCTCTTTCTTGTTTGCCAAAAGGATGAAGACTCAATCAGGACACTTATCTCAAATCTCTCATATCAGAAATCTAACAAGAGTGATCAGAAATGTACTTTATAAGTGATTATATGGCAGTGCACTTGTATTAGTCCCTATGTATTTGCTAGTCCAGTCTAATTTCTAGAAGGGAGTATAAGACTTTCAGTATTCAAGTAAGAAAAGAAGTGACCTAATTTAAAATAATTCTTCTACTTTCCTGTATGTTCAGGAGTGTGTTTGAGTGGTAGAACTAGTCATATACAAATAACCCGAAAAAGACTTTGGAAAAAAATTAGTCCTAATTCTTCTTATACAGAAGGCAAATCTGGGGTCCCCTACAAGTCTAGAACCAAGAGTGCTTGGTTGGTTAGAAGAAGAGGAAGGTTTAGAATCTGGGTCTGCTGATTCTAGGTTACTACACTCTCCATCCAAAAGGACAGTCCCTCTTTCCTTCAAGAAATGCCTAAATGTAGAAATTCACCAGCAACTGATTATTGGCATTCTAGAAGCTTTTCTCTTCCATATCTTCAAGGCATGGAACTACCAAGTAGCTCTTTCAGTTTAGAAATTTATATTTTCAAAACAGTGATATTTGCCAGGGAACCACTGAAAGTGGTTAGAACCAGAAGCTTGGGATTCCAGGGAGCCCATTTCTTGTTCTCTTGTCTTCCTAAGTCTTAGTTCTGGCTATAAAGAGATAGGAAGAGCCTTGGCTTCCCCCCCGCCCCCCCCCACACTGCTGAAGAGTCTAAAGAGGGAGAAAGAATCTAAAATAGTAATAGTTGTCTATTTTCTTCCAGACTTATTAAACCAGGCTTGGTAAATCTGTTTGTGCAGAGACTTTGTGTAGAGACTTAAATATGTCATGAGTTTTGAGTCCCCATCAAACAAGTATACCTTTAAAGCTCACATCCTTAATGATGCTTAAACATTTAGTAAAATCAGTATCTTAACTGTTGCTTTAAAAATATCAGAAATCTGGTGGTTTCAGACCAGACCAGAGAATAGACTTATTCTCCAATCCCTCACAGATATATAAAAAACACATCATTAATGGGCCATTTAAATACAGTTTTATCAGATCCTTTTCTAATAATTAAAGGTTCTTTCTCAATCTCATTCTTCAGCACAGCAAACAAGAACTCTTATTGAAGTTGGGAGCTTCTGGAGGAGTCTTAGGTTTTGTTTGGTTTTGATATAAAATACAATATTGGCCACACCATATTGAAAATGTTTGCACCGATTATCTTGTGTAGCGCCTGGCACATGGTAGCCATTCTGTGAATGGGCCCTCAAAGGTCCCTTTGCTTTCTTTATCACTTCTTGGGGAGAAACAGAAGTATGTGAGATAAAAAGAATAAGAAATTACAATATCGATACGGTTGTTCTTCCTGTTTTTTATAGACAGTCTTTTATCTAAAAAATATTTGATTTTGATAAGAGATACTTTTTAAATATTCAGTACCTCTAAACCTCTTTTTGAATGCCAAATAACATGGTAAAATCTATATCGGCCAATGGTGTTAGCATCACTGTGCAATATTTTATTATTTATTGTGTTTTGTTATATTAAAATAAGTAGAAGACACAAAATGAAAATGCTGATGAGAAGCCTGTGTCTCATGAATGTGGCCCACTTTAGACATGGTTGGAACTGATCAGAGGTACCCAGTCATAAGTGACAAGTCTTAGGCTCTCAGTGGATCCTCATTGAATATCCAAACTGGTTAGCTGCATATAAAAGAAGGAAGTATCTAGATTAAAAAATGGTAGTGTGTTATCAAAGAATTTTGCTAATGTTGAGGAGAAAATTTTATTTTCTAAAAAGAAAACTGCACATTATAACATAAACTTATTTAATTTCCACATACTCAAAGCATTTGTATACCTTTTTAGGAATACATTATGTGACAAAACCATAGACTGTGAATATCATGAGGATCAGAAACTAAACTATAAGCAGTATCTAAGTAGACTGTTCCAGAGTATTCTCTATGATGCTTTCGGAGACAGCTCTGCTTCCACCGTTCTTCTGCAAGATTTTACAGACTGGCTTAATAGAAAGGGAAGGAATTGGTCATATTCACTGCTATTACTTTTGCCCCTGTTTAGAAGGTAGACTGGCCTCCAATTACTAGGCCAGCACTGTTCCTTCATGTTATGTTAAAAGCCAGGAGCAGATAACCCAACTAAATAAGCCATAAAGTATAAGACTGAGAGATTCTGAACAAGAGGTTGTGTTGCTGTCAAATAATTTAACTTGACTTATTTAATGATGTGAATAAACCCTTATGCTTTGCCATAATTACACAAAGTGATGGAATGTAGATGACTTTAATGAATATTTTTACAAGTCATGTTACCCAACCCTCATTTTTTTCTTTGCTTTGTTATTAACAAAAAAGATCCTAATCAGTCCAGTATCATTTTAATAGCTGGGATTTTTAGATACCTCTCCCACATTCCAGGAAGTAAAAGTTGTTTTTTCCTGCTCCTCCTTCAGCGAATAGTGTGTAGTTTTACAGCTGCGTGGTGGAGGAAGCATTAGTAATATTTATTTTTGAGAAAGACAAGTAGTTAATTTGGATAATTCTAAGATTTATCCTAAACATCAATCCCTAATTTTAAGAAATCTGCTTATATAAATATTTTCTTTGATTGGATAAATAAATTTTGTTTGGTTCATTTCCAAGCAAGTTATTAAGAGTGTGAAATGGTCTTCATTCATTCCTGCTGGCCAGATTCTGTGTTCACCAGGGTGGTAAAAGGAGGAGTGGGAGGTTGAAATGCATATTTTGAGATACAACTTGGAATTCATTTTCTCATAGAATCAGCAAAAAATAGATGTCTAGGCTAGCCCTCCAAAGCTCATTGAACCCCATGGTGTGGGAGAAGTGTCTTATTCATGGACATAGTATGAGCATGGTGTAGGGAAGAGAATGTGGGCTTGGAAGTCTGGAAGCCTAGTTTTGATTTTAGTCTGTTCCTAACTTGATGGCTTCACATGACTCACCTATGTGGCTCTGTGTTTTATCATCATAAAGTGGAGAGATATAAGTCCATGAAACTCTGTAAGCTCAAGTCTAAGGCAAAAGATGAGGAATCTCTCATTCTGAAGAAGCATGGAGATAGTCTTATTTAACTGGCAAGGATTTCCTTATTTAACTGGTGAGGATGCTGAGGATCAAACCAAGGTACTTACACATGGTCAGCAAGGTCTCTACCTCTGAACTACATCCCCAGCCCAAGGATCTTTTTATTATGTGAATGCTGCTGTTGTGGCTTTCTGGATTATTTTACCTGTCATAAGCTCTTTAACCAAAACTGAGTCTTACTAAAATTACAAGTGGCTGTACAGCCATTTCACTGCCATTCCCTCCTTCCCTATTTTGGCATGAGGGAGTTCATTTATTTAGATGAAAAATCTTGTGGAATAAGATATATTGATGTTTTTTACTACCTACTTTGGCAAAACAATCCTAATTTTGATGGTGCTCCTGAGCCCCCTTTTTAGCTATGAAATCATCAGGTTCTAAGGATCTCTGAAGCCACACTTCATTTCCTCTAACCAGTTCCTTTATTTCCTATTCCTGTTTTCCACACTTGCTGCTATCAGACTTATTATCACCTTATGCCATTTATCAACATCATTTCCCTGATAACCTACCAGAGTTCCTGACACATAGTAGAGGCTCAATAGCTAATGACCTTACAAGCCCTGCCCTCTATTATACTTTCCCAAATACACCACTAGTCTCCCCTTTTCTCATGGTCATTGCTCTTAATGCTCATGTAACATCTGTTGGCTACATATTGTGCACATCCTTTTTTGTACTATTACTCTTGTTCTCTGTTGTATGTAAAGTTTCCTGGTTTTAAGTCTATCTTTCTTGGATGAATACTTTATACTTTTTACTTATAATATTTATACTTTTTCTTGTGTCCTCTACACCTCCAAGCATTTGCCAACCCAATTTCCCCCACAAAACCCAGCAAGAGCTATGGCTCAGATCTGTGGAAGCTGGTGATGGATGTTTAAGAAACTACTCATCCATCTTAATGCAGCACTTGCACTGCTTGTTCTTCAATTGCCCATTATCACTTCATTCAAAGGCTCTGTGATTATTCATTCACACAGCATTTACCAAACTTCCCCTATGAGCAAGTCACCAGCTAGGTGCTCGGAAGATATACAAAGATGAATAAGATGCCTTCTCTGATTTCTATAGCAATTACTGATGTACGAGTCATACAGCAATTAATCTTGTACTGCCTTGTGATGTCTCTTATGCTATCTAGAAAGCATTCTTTAAATCCTGCTAGGCTATTTGACTTTTCACTTGTTAATGTCTTCACTCATTCATTCAGCAAATAATTGTTGAATGTATATGGTGTGTCCAGCACTATCCTAGTAGCTGGGGCAGATAGATAAATGAGTGGGTGTGCTGGTACATACCTACAATCCCATCTACTCAAGAGGCTGAGGCAGAAGGACTGAAAGTTTGAGTCCAGCCTGCACAACTTAGACAATGTTTCAAAATAAAATTTTAAAAGGGACTTGGGATGTAGTGCATGATTGCATACTATGTGCAAGTCTCTTCTGAGTTCAATCTTTAGTACAGGGTGGGAGGGGAGGTGGTAACAAAGACAAAGATCAACCAAAAAAAAGTTCCTACCATCAAAAAAAGGTCTGACTACAGTATAGAAGAGGAAATGGAAATAGACCAGTAATTATGACATAATATGCCAAATGCTTCTAGAATCCCAAAGAGGGGATGCTCAAATTCCTAAGGGCATTATGCAAGGTCTCACTGAAGAGGTGATCATTCAACTAGGCCTAGAAGAGTAGTGTCAAATGACAAGGCAAAGCAGAAGATTCTAGATTAAGAGAATATCCAAAACAAAGGCACAGACTATAAAGAACATGTTCTTCACATGGATGAAGACTGGTGGGAAATAAAGTTGGGGAGATGAATTAGGGTCTGATTGTGCAGGTGCATTTTAACAGACTATGGAAGTTGGATTTTATCCTTTAAGCAAGAAACTCCTCCCCTTCCCTGGTTACCTACACAGTCATGCACACTGTAAAAAACATACTAACATTTACAGGCATGTACAAAGTAGAACATTAACCACTTGTGGTTTGGGTCATAATCTTTCAGCTTGTTTTCTACAGGTAAACAAACATACTACCATTTAAAATAAAATCATGCTCTATTTTTTTCTTGATGTAAGTACCTGTTAGATACCAGTCCATGCCAATCCATGCAGGTAATATTTCACTTTTTTAAATGGCGTATAATTCATAATCCATTAGCAGAAAAAGACTGATTATGGGATCAGACTTCATAGTCTGGTCTTGCAGCAAGCCCACTTAACTTGTGCTTGTTAATGCCTCTGTAATGTGAATATAGTAAAGGTACTTGTTGCATAGGATTTTTTGAGGATCAAATCAATCAATATGTGAAGAGTTCAGAATAGTGTCTGGCAGATGAAAACCTTAGTGGTGATTCCATAATTTATTCAATATTCAAGTAGTGTTTTAAGCAAGAGAGTGATATAATCTGGCTTCCTTTTAGAAAGATCACTCTGGTACCTTTGGTGAATGATCAACAGGGAAGGAAGAAGATTGGTGGCGGGGAGCTTATTGAGAGACTATTGCAAAGAATGGCGATTTGGAGTATTAGCTGTTACTGGCCGAGGAATGAGCAAACAAACTATCGAGATATTTTTAAGACACCAAATACTATGATTTGTTGACTACTGACGGCTGAGAAGAGACAACTACAAGTTCCCCATTTTTAGCTCCGAGGACAGTGTAGATAGAAGGCGGTGCCATATTCCTGTGTTCCCTTGACAGGTACTTTTTGAGTCCCTACTCCGGGTTTAGGTACAGAAAATAGGCAACAGGATCTCTGCTTTGAGAAGCTTAAGTTCCAAGAGACATTTATGACTGAAGCTGGGAGACCAACAAATACTTGGACAATAAATGAACAAGAATTTCAGCGTAGCCCACAACTGATTGAATAGCAGAGATCCAATAAATATTCAATGACTTTTAAACACATCTCCAATCCTGAAAAAGTTTTAACAGTCTGCCCTATATGATGATTATGGAGTCAGTGACTTATTCAAAGCGGTAGAGGAGAGCCCGGAATGAAAGGGTTATTTTGAGCTGGTTCCCCAAGCTCGAGGAGCGGCAGGTCAGACGACCAGTCCCGTTTCACAGCCAGGGAGAATTACGCGTTTGGGCCAAGGTCACACAAGCCCTAGCGCCGGGGCGCGTCCGGGAGGTCCCGGCCGGGCCACCGCGAGGGGCTGGGGCCGAGGCCAAGGCCAAGCGGCACCGGCGCAAGTGCCCGCGGCTCCCGGGCTCTAAGTTGTTGCCTGCGGGGCCGGCGCGCGGCCCAGCGGCGGTTGCGGCTCCGCGTCGCGAGGCACTTCCGGCGTGTGCCGGGGTGGCCGGATGACGTGGCTGAGTCAGAGGAAGAGGCTAAGGCCGGGGGGGCGGAGGAGGCTCGGGAGCGGGCGGTGACGGCGGCGGCGGAGGCAGCGGCTGGGCCCGGGCCCCGTGCGTCTGTCCGCGCCCCGTGGATGCGAATCGGCCGCGGCACAAGCGGCGGCGGCGGAGGAGTCGGTGGGCCGGCGCCGGGCCGGCGCGAGCGCGGAGGATGAGGCCGCTGCCGGGCGCTCCTGGCGTGGCGGCGGCCGCCGCGCTGTTGCTGCTACTGCTGCCCCGGGTCCGGGCGGACGAGCACGAGCACACGGTGAGGCGCCCCGGCAGGCGCGGTCGCCCCCACCCGCTTCCCCGGCCGCCGCCCCAGCGGGCTCCGCGCGGCCTGGAGGGTAGGGGGCCCCGGTGCAGCCCGGCGGCCGTCCGAGAGCTCCTTCCGGTCGGGCCTGGCTGAGCAGGAACCGCGGGAGCAGGGAGGAGGCATTTCCGTGCGTTCCCGGGACGGGGCTCCCCTCCCGAGTGTCTGGGCCTCCCATTCCCGCCCCGACCTGGGTGGCGCCGCGCCCCCACGTCTGGGGGCCCTGGGGGACCCGACGGAGCCTGGGGAGTCTCTAGGTTCACTTTCCTGCGGGAGCTAGGCCCGCAGGCCGGTGTGTTCGGGGGTCGTGTCCCCGGGGAAGGGGCTGCTCTATGACTGTGGGGAGCTACGACGATAGCAGAAGATGGATGCATTACAGTTACCCCTCATACAGGAAATACCCACCACTTATGATTCTCTCAAGCCTTCTTTTTTTCTTCCCCCTCTTCCTCCTGCCCAAACCGGATTAAAACCCCGGGGTGGGGACAGCCTTGATAAACTCTAGGTGAGAGCGGTTTACACGTGTGTATGCTCTCACCCTGTACGCACTCAATTGTGAGGCCTTTCTTGTAACTTTCTCCTCTTAAGTCCCCAGCAGCGGCTCCATCCCGGTGGTCTCCAACTTGGGCCACTTCTGATCATAAAGTTTCCCAGTCTAAGGCCTGGCCCCGGAACAATCTCTTGCATTTGGTCTAAAGTTGATTGGCGGTTTAATTGCATTTTCACATTAAAGCATGGATGTTAACGACTCTAGGAGTGGCTTTCACTTAGGACTGTAACTTGATGGTTTTCAGAATGGTGGACGGGAGCAAGGCAGGAAACTCAGGTAAATGGAGAAGGTTGCTTGGTCAGTAATTGTTTTTATACCATTACCCATTAAGTTATGAT